ATATATATATATATATATATATATATATATGATTGAGATTGCCACAGAAATCAGGACAGGCTGACAGCAGTCGAGACCGAGAAAAAGCGAAATATGACCTATTTGCTAATAAGCTTGGGTCAGAGAATGAAATGCAGGACCAAAATAATTCCACATGTGATAACTTGAGATGGGATTGTAATGAAGTTCCACAAATGCTATGCGAAGAAAATTAGTATATCTGACCACGTCCAAGCCTTTATTCAATCGATAGTTCTCAAGAAGACGCTCGAAAGCATCTCCTTGGAGAGTCGATATGGATTCCGCGTGGACGAAGTGAGATCAATGAGTGCAACGAATTTGAGAGCGGGACAAGTACTGCCGTAATGTCGGAATGCGATCCAGCGCCAGAACCAATAAAGCAAAAATTAACACAAACCTCCACATTATATATTATATATATATGCAGACTGTCCGGAATTCTGAACAAGATTGGTTATTAATTAGTGCGTATCTCAAATATTCTAAATATATCAGTGAACTCACGGCCAATTTCTCATATTATTCCTCGAGGAAAGTTGTTGAGATTTCTTTGGTTGCATTAATAACTGTCATAAAATCTTTTGCATGCTTATTAATTTTTTGTTTGCGTTTAATTTCATCTTATTCTTATCCTTACAGTATTTCTTGTAGAAATGAGAATAATGTTTTTGCCTAGAAATATTTACTTTTTATTCACGTTAAAAATGAAAACCTGATTCACTTCTATTTCTAGTTTCAGATGTCTGAGGTAGTTCTGTAACAAACTTTTAGTAGATTCCTTTTTGTGCTATTTTAGCTCCATTTAAAACTATTGGGTGTGATATCACTTATACCGTATTCCTGTGTAACTATCAGATTATTTAGTTTGAATTCAAATCAGTCCATGCATGGTTTCGAAAATTTTCATGTTTTTTATCTCTCCGAGTTTGTAGAATTATTAAAAACATAAATTTATTTATGTTTATTATTTCAGTATGACGTGCTCCAGACCCACTACAAAGTCCAATTTCGAGTCGATAAGTGATGAAATAATTGATATTATATTTTTAGCAGCAGAAGATAAACTTCGTATACTCTTGAAGCATGCAGTAAAGGTAGCGAAAAGTCGTGAACTTGTCGAACGTCAGTTCCATGAAGTAGGAGTCTTTTTCAGCACATTTCGAAGCAGTCATAGAATAATAAAATGCTTAAAAGACATGAGAATCACGCTTGCTTTCAAATTTTTTTGTTAATTCCAAAAAAGTTTCGATACGTTATGGTACATCACCACTTTAATAAAACACTGAAGCTTATGACCACCTTCTTTACTGCATAGATTCCTGAGAAAGCATTAAATTATAACGAATCTCTAATTTTATAAATGAGAAAACATCATGATAAGCATGTTGGAAGAAAAATATTCTAAAAAAACACCTACAGTGTTTTTAAAGTCACATTGTAAATTTCAAGTCACATTGTGAACTTGCACGTCAAATGAAATTTATTGAAACGTTGGAAATGAAGCGTTATGATGATACGTCGCAATTTAACGATGCAACGCAGGTTTTTTTTTCACTTGTCTGCTACTGAGTTTAACATTGTATTCTTCAAATTTGCTGAGATTGTGACTTGATATGTTGTACAAACCAATAAAACATGCGGAGGAAAGCAGTCAGAAATTGTATCTGATAAGATGTCCATAATTGTTTTTTGCTCTTTTCAGCAGGGAAGCGTGGAGAGCATAGAAAAGAAACAAGAAATACATACTCAGAATGAGCCATTCACAGAAGTAAACAAAGTAAGTGAGATATCTCTCTCAGTCATTAATAGCAGCTAAGAATCACTTCTCCAAATGAGAGTAAGTAATAATTTAAAACTCTTAACTAATAATTTTATTAAAAATAGAACCTCATAAGATGTATCTTCTATAGCAACCTGTCAAACCTTTCAGGTACCTTCCCAGCATACTCACATAGCAAGGGGAGATCTGCTAGCTGTTATTGATGCAGATCCTTCTTATCGCAGGTTTCGCTTCACACATCATCTCCGCCTCATGTGACATGTGTTACCAAGTTTGGTAAAGCTTTTGAATCAACAGTCAATTGTTCATAAAAGTCGGAATGTCAAATAAATCAATAGCAAAAGATAGCTGCTTCCCTAATATGCACTGTTAACATGGCATGATAACTGCTTTTGCAAGCCAATCCATATTTTATCGAAAATTACACTGTATGGCCCTTGAGATGAATCACTGATAAATAGAAACTGAGTAACATTTAGATCAATCACGCAAACCAATATGTTCCAATAACATCTTGCTATGTACATTTCCTTCAAAATAAATTATGCCGATAAATTTTCACTTCCGAAAGCACACCATCCAGACAAAACTTGAAATAATCCACCATGAGATTATGAGGAATAAGCAACTCGAACATTCATTACAGCACTGCTTCCACTGAACAGGCGTCACCAATGGAACATGCGATTTACACCTACCTTTATTATATATGTTCGAACGGATATTCAAAATGATAACAAGTTTGTATTGTTCATTAAGCTCACGCTCATTCCTTTTTTAAACTGAAGATACTTTTGTATGCGTGGACTCTGCATTCTATAATTATCTCTGTTGAACAACACAAACTAAAATTACATAATTTATTCATTCAAAAAATCACATTTGGAAGAACGTAATAACTATAGTAAGAACTAATACAAAAGAACAAACAAAAACCAATAAATAAAAAATTCAAAGTCTGATAAAAAACAAGGGAAAGATCACTTCAAATTAGCATAAGAAATTTCTGGATTGCGTACTTTTTCATTGCAAGAAGGCTTTTGCCCTTGCTTGAGACAACTTATTTACTACTTATGAATAAGATAATTCAAAATTGCGTCACTTCGTAAATATTTGCTCAAGAAATTTTGCAGCCTATGCTTGAAAAGAAGCATAAACCGCAGTACATTGGAGATGAAAACCAGTGCAATAAGAAATATCATCATTAACTTTGCAAAATAAATAGGGTATATGAAGACAAAGCCTATAACAATAAACCGAAAATAACACTTACTATGGTGAATCAAACCCCAATTGAAGCAACTGTTTGTTCCAAAGTTAAAATTCATATGGATCAAAAATGCTTGAGATTACCCACAATTTATAAATAACAAGTAATACAGAAATTCAGACAACCAAGAAATCAAAATATGAATCCTTTTTACAGCACTGCTTCCATTGAAGAGGCGTCACCACTGGAACATACGACCTACACCTACCTTTATTATATATGTTAAAAGGGATATTCATAATGATAACAAGTTCATATTGTTGGTAAAATTTTTAATGGGGAAAAAGAAAAGTTAGGAAGTTTCAAGGAATATTTATAGGATAAAAATATTTTTTCAACAAAGAATCATGCTTCCGTTACATTTCTTATAAAAATCATTGATCGTAACATGTTTGAAAAATAAGCAATGAAATCAATGAAATTATCATAACGGCGTAATTCTAATGTGGAAAACACAGAAATAAATATAATTATTATCATAATTGAGGAACAACAGCATTCAAGCCACTTTCTTTTCTTCACCCTTTGTACCATCCTTCTTGTTTTTCTTCACATCTGAAATAGGTCTACGAAAATTATCCATATTTCAGTTACCTACATGTTTCAACCCTTTATACCTTATCGAAATCATTCTAATCTAACACTTTTACACTGATGCATATTAAGAAGGAATGGATGGCATGATGGTCAAGCACGACGAAGGGTGCAGAAATTCAATTTTTAAAATATCTTACTTCAATAAATAGCTGCTTGAATACTGCTCAAATCATCTTGTAAAAGGCTCATTGTTTAACTTGAAAAAGATAGTGAGCCGTCCAGGACATAAAATTCATTTTGTACAAATATTACCAAAACATTTTGTTGAAATTTTTGGAAAATTTCAAATTCAAATTTTCGCCTGGTCTGCCTTATTTATATATTAATACGCCACAAACTACACACAAAGAAAGAGCCCGTACGCTAAAACAAACAATTTTTCAATTCAAGTTGTTTACAACTTGTAAAAGTAATACATCGTTCGTTTTGATACATTTCGAGGCAGATGGTAAATAAAACTTTTTCGTTTAAAACAAAAAAATTTTAGCATCATTAATAAATTTTCATACATGAAAGTATAAAGAATCCTTAAATTGATCAAAAACCAAAATGTTCAAAAAGCAAGATAAAAAGGTCGCAAATCATGAATAAGAGTTTTGTTCAAGTAAAAGCAAAAGCGCTTCACTTCCCTTATGAAAATAGATTTTCTAACCAAGAGGACATTCAGAGGTCAATGATCACAAATTCAATAACAATAAATACTCATTTCATAGAATAAAATGAATTCCAGAAGATAGCAAATCTGTGATAAAATTATTGTACAGCATAACTAACAATAAACAAGTTAAAAGCTTCACACAAATGATCACAAAATCTGAATTTTGGAACTTGGACAGCTGATCTAAACATCGAAATTGATGCACTCCAAAAAAGGCCCTATAAACTTTTAATTTCAATTTACATATCAGTCAATCTGAACTAAAAAGCAGCTTTTTCCAGCATATAAATTTCCATAAAGTCACAAGGGTTATGAAATAAGACTGAAAGCACTGTTTTCTAGCTGTTATATGACATATAATACTAAGAATTAATCTACGACATTGTTAAACAGAAAACTCGTAATGTTTTTGCTCTTTGTGTCACATTCTTCAAATGAAAGCTAAAATAAAGTCCACACAATGCTCACAAATAAAGCAAAGTCACTAACACATACTAGCACAACAGCAAGATTAAGCAAATTAACTTAAAGAATATATTTCCTTTGAAAACACAATTTCAGAACTTTCTTTACAAAAATTTGCAAAATAAAAAATTCCTTCAAAATAAATAAACAATCTCTCTAAAATTTCGAGAACTGAAAAAAAAGTCAGTTGTGGCGAAAATACCTGTTACTACTTATCTGCTAAATGATATTTCGCGAGAAACAATTGTAAAGTTCAAACAAGTGGAGCCTTAAAGTGCTGCTTTAAAACATGAAGTATTTTTCAAGTTCTTTCAAAAACATTTAGTTTTCTGGATCCACAAGGTTTCAGAACCATTGCATATTATGGATGGAATAGAAAAACCTATAACATAATAAACCATATCAACACAGATGTCTTTGTTACAAAATATGTGTGCTAATATAAGCATTCCAGCCCTCGAATGACCTACGAAATTCCATAAATTCATCAAGAAAAAGTTATGAAAAATTGACCACAAAAACCTCATTAAAAAAAATCCATATAAAACACAAATATAGTATTTGTAAAGAAATTAATCAGTAAAAACTCACATGATACAAAATAAACAATGTAATTTAAAATAAACTCTGAAAGTTATAGACTTTGTCGTGATGCACGTATGAATTTCATTTTTTTTAAATTGAAAGAAAAGAAGGCAAAGACAAAAGACCTTTGATGGAAAATCCTAAAATAACATAGGACCCAGAATGGTCACAACAAACGCATTAATAAAGACAATGCTTTGTTCAACATTTTGAAGATATTTTGAACACAGGATAAATAATTGATAATACAGTAATAGGACTAAAATATGCTATTTTAAGATGAGTAATATACTAAAAATCATTTATGAAGGAATCAGATTTTAACAAGATAGCTTTTTTGACTGATGCAAATTTAACGAATCAAAAAAACCATGTTAAACTTAGATACTTTAAATGAATTACTCAAGGTGTGATATGCTGAGAAGGAGAGACAATTTGGTTTCGAAGGCAAGAAACATTGTGTAGCATAAAGAATAAAACGACGTACAAACTAACCGACAACCTCACCATCATCGAGGCTTGCGTTGATATCACGTGGGCGTTTACGATCATTCGAAATACTTCCGCTATAACCAACACCACCATTTTTACCACCACTGCTATGCTTATTTCGAATATCTGGCAAGCGATCAATTGCCAGAACTTTATACATTTGATTGAATGCAATAAGTCGTAATGCATGCTGTGAACTGGAAGTGATATCTTCGCGCTGTTGTCCACTAAGGTCAGCAAGCACATCTATTGGCTGCTTTTCACAAGGATCGCTTAGCCCCGGTCCATCTTCAGAAATATATTTCAACAAATATTTTTGAATCTTCATCTTTTACTGATCAATTTCTATTACAACTTCCAAATAATGTTCACTGCTCAGAACTATATCAAATGGATTTGTTGTAAATAAGGAAGAATTACATAGTAATAATAATATTATTATTAAGATAAAAGAACACTACACAAATAATCGTAAAAATAAGTACCTGCGCTCATAACTACTAGTCTCTTTTACTCTTTTCTGTCTACCTTGAAATTTTTCCAGATATACAGAAAACTTACTTGAGAACAAAATTCCTGATGCAACAGCTTCAAAAACGCGGCGTACAGCGTCACCAGGTGATAAAGGAGCACCTAAAGATGAGAGGACTTTCTCCACGAGTAATTCGGTTGCCTAAAAAATTATAAGAATAATTTAGATCACATATAATGAAAGACATATATAGATATGTTAAATTCGAGCAGAGATTTGAATGAGAATTGGGCAACTAACCAAAAACTGCACTGAACGGCGAAAACTTTATCAAGGCAGTAAATGAGCGAGCCATAAGTTTAATAAACTATTATAATGCGGTGCTCAAACTGGAACCAGAAAACCTCAAAGCTATAGATCACGATATCAAGCTTTACTAAACATGTATGGAATTCACAGTCAACCATATATGGATAGACTGTACTTGCAAAGGAGCGAGTTAAGACGTGGACTTTACAGATAAAGGAGTGAGCGCATGCTTCTGTAGAAACGAGTGTATATTTAGCAAGAGAGCGAAGATTTTGAGGCAGAAGTCTCACAACACGTACTCATGAAGTTACTGTGCTCTATCTTCAAAATAATTGCTACCTCGCAGATAATCTAATCTTAAATTTAACAGCAGCCTAGAAATCGTTCTTATATATCGAAGTAGAAAGAAGATTCGACAAGCAAAGCTATACAAGATGCATAGTAATGGGCTAGCCTCAATGTCAGATTCATCAGTGTGGTTATGATTCGGGAACACTACCTCACATAATGAAGCACAGTACTGTTACCTTCAAGATGGATATATATTTGAAGCTGAGAAAAAAATGTGCCAACAATGTAGGGTACGTTGAAACCGTGGACCATCTAGCAACGCAGTGCGAAGAAGTGTTATATCACGACTATACCAGAAGACACAATGAGATTCTGCGATGCATCCATTCAGGACTCTGCAAGAAAAATGGTCTGAATTCATTCCCGTGCAAGCGAGATAATTCTGTTCAAGAAATCGTCGTGAATGAGAACGTATCATTATCCACGATAAAAGACGTGAAAAGGTTGGCATCACTAGTCAATACAGATTGGGACAATTAAGACAGAGAAAGGAAAATATGATTTACTGATTAATGAACTCGGGTAAGAGATAAAATGCGGGACGTAATAATTTTGTATGTGATGACTTGAAATGGAAATGTAACGAATTTCCATAAACGCTACGCAAAGGAGATCAATATGTCGGATCACGTCGAGGCATATATTGTTCAACCGTGCTCAAGAAAGCATTTCATCCAATAATAGCCTAGGAGTTCTAGAAGATCAAGTAACGGAGAGAGCACATAAGTGTAGGACAAGTACAGCCAGAGTGCAAGAATACGATTTGGCGCCAGAATTAGTAATGCAGAAAAGAAAATTAACCTCCCATTCAGCTGAAAAACGTTGTTGACTGCAGAGACAGTAAGGAAGATAATTTATTTATAAAAAATTTCTTACCCAATCCTTGAGAGGCTGCCATGATAGCACACGCTGACGGATATCACGTAATATACGTAAAGTAATTGCAGCTGATTGCAAATTCGAACACCTAATCTAAAAGCACATCAATGGAAACATTAGTTGACAGTAAATACGAATACAAAACAACAAGATTAAATTCCACAATCTATCAAATAGCAACATTCTAAATCTAAGACAATGTCATTGAGCGGACATTGCTCAATGTCCGCTCAGTGACATTGTCTTAGATTCAAACTCTGCAGACATTGCTCAACAGTTCAATTCAGCACAATAATGTGCGGTTACAAACTTGACATGTACAAAAAATTAAAATATAACATTAATTCCAGTCTTTGTCAAGTGTTTTTCCGCAAAACAAGTGACAACGACCTCACAAATAAAATCGTGCAGCAAAGTTGTTCAGGGTCGGAAAATTTATCGCAAACCAACATTTCGATTTTTAAACTTGTTGACGTTAAACATGTGGTGAAAACAACTATACTGAATGAAAACTGGCTATTTAGCTACCTTTTTCTAATCTAACACAAATAATCAACACAACAGTACAAAATTTAGTGTAACGTATACTAAATTAATAGAAATATTATAATATTCGAACTCCTATAGTCTTCAAATGATTTCTGATAATTGAAGTTCGCCAGAATTTTCAAACATTACCAATAAACACTTCTATGTTCATAAAAATTTTCCAACCCCAAATAAAAAAGTGCAGCACGTACCTGATACCACTTAGCGTGTCTTAGTTCAGCCAACCCTTCCAGGCAAGGGACCTTCGGCAGAGGGTCCTTTGGCGGTACAAGTTTCAAGCCTGCCGCTGCCGTAGTTCCATCACCTTCTGATGAAAACAAAAGAAGATCAAAAGACGCATTCAAACAGAATCAATAAGCGATGCATGTCGAATAAAATTCCTGACCAGAAGGTAATTTTTCCAGTTTCAATAATTTCAAGGGATTATTCGTAAACACGAAACATGCTATGCTTCAATTTTTTTGTATAATAGCAGTTATTCATGTTTTTTTTTTAAATTTTGAATACGCTGAAAGTAATTCTTTACCAATTACTTTCAACATATTTAGCTAGCATGTTACAACCCCAAAAACTTGAATAACATAGGAATTTCCTCTTTTATATCTGGGAAACTAGAAGAGAGAATAGTAAAACATGGTAACAGCTTCTCTAATTTGTTGAATGCGTTATCTACAAAGCAAAGCATACATATCTATTCATTTTCATTAATGGTTCTCACAACAGTCTTGAACAGATAGATAGCATGAATATTTTTTGGCTAGCTAAAAACTTTTTAAATATCTTCAAAATGATTACTTTCAATAATTATTTTTTAATTATTGACAACAACAATGTTGAGAACCATCAATATAACAAAACAGCTGATAACGAAAACATGAAAAACAAAGACACAAGCTAGTTGCAAACTATATATATATAATAGCCAGTACTCCATACCAGCAAAAAATAATTTTTTTCAAACGTTATGATTTCCTATAATTTTAGGCTCAAATTCATACAAACAATGAATTCAATTTCAAATTTAGAAGTCTAAACAGATAGAAATGAGCTGTTTCATCTCAAAGGTTCAAAAAAAGTAGTTTTCAAATGAGAATGGAAAAATATATCCACACCAACTAATATGGGGTTCCGCATGATACAAGCCAAGAGAACTGCAACAGCTTTTAAATGTAAAACACTTTCGGTATGGAAAATTTTTCGAACAAAAAGAAAATTAACCTCCGAGATGTTCTTCACGAAGTGAAATACATGTGAACACTACGCGACAAATCACATCAGAACTGGAATGTTTCAACAAGAACGCACTCTCCTCCGGTTTCTCCACAATCGTTACAATTTCATTTTCATTCTTCTGAAATACATATATTGAATCTGATTAATAACAAGAATAATCGTATTGTTCGCTCATAACTTCCCGACATACTATCTAAAACTGAAAAAAAAAGCACCTCAATGGCTTGTGGCAGCAATTTCACGACTTTTGATAACAGCGTACGAGTAGGCGGTTGGGAACATAGGACAACGAGCCGTATCTAAAATTTTGAAAAAAGACATTTTCAAGATCAATTTTGAAAAAAGGCATGCATAGGATTAAAAGGCAACACCTCTTTATCATTCTTTAGCAACAACCCTTTTGCTAACAGTCCCACACGCATAACTCCCTTTAAAATACGATCAGGCTGTGTTTGTTCCGCAGCATCTGGAGGAATTCCATCTTTCTGGGGTCCTCTCACTTGAATTCTAAATTTTCTTGCATCTCTGCAATCCACAAAGTTTTAGACATCTTTTTTGTTTCATAAAGTTGTAAGAAAATATCAAATTCTCACCACGATGAGGACAACACTACGAAGCACACTTATACAGAAATTTATAAACTGAATATCTGAAAAAGATCATACTCTTCTGCCAGACTATCCGAAACAACTTTTAATCCTTTCTCTGTTATGGAAACAAGCTTTTCTATTGCCATGAGCAAAGACTCCTCCGGATATATCTGCAAAACAGTCAATTAAACCACAATCTGAAGTATTCTAAGTGACACAAGCAAACTCAACATAATGGGACAGCCTGTACAAAAAATAAAGAGCCTAATATAGTATTTAATAAAGTAAAATACTAAAACCAATCAAAAAATGAATTCAAAAAAAAAGACTTTAAAATGATTATACAAATAATGATGTTGTTGTACAATCAACTGTTAAAAAACAGTCTACAACATACCAAACGATGCTTAGCCATAACGTGCCGATCTTCCACAGTTTCTACACGTCTTCCCGGATCCATGACTCCACACCATGGACGTGTTGATGCAGATATGAGTAATGGTTGTGGTGCACCGAGTGGGCGAGGTCTAAATAAGATTGGTCATCAGATCAATACAAACCCTGAACTTTTGCTTAATAGAACGTTTAACGATGAAAATGAATTTTCTTATCAGTGAATAAAACAGATTAAAACGCACGGTGCGATATGAATACGTTGTGCTCGGAGCTTTCGTGCTATTTCACTACGCATTTCACGTGGAACTTGGTTTGGTTTGACTTCAACCACTAAATTTGGATTGACTTTCATCTGAAATACAAGAATTAGTTTGCTGAGGAAAGCACAATAATTATGCTTTTTCAGGCCAAAAAGTAGAAGTTCTAAATAGCAGACGTTATTTAACCGTATTAAACTTACCTTATATTGCAAACGATGCTTACGCCCTTTAATATGGATGTTTTTAGCATTCGGGTCACTGAATTTACAATCACATAATTTACAGTTATACTGAATCAGTTTACCAGATGCATTTCTTTCTTCCTCTACATAATCCTCTCCAACAGGCTGCACCTCCTTTTCAGCAGCCAAAGCAGCCTAAAATATTTGAAATTCAAAATTATAATTGAAACTCTCCTTACATAAATCGAACGAACTTGATTAATGTTACAACCTCAACAGCAGCATTTTTTTGACCTGATGCTTCAATAGCCGCTTCTGCCGCATTTACTGCCTTACATGTTAGTTCTTGCGCTGAATTTTGCAACTTATCGCCACCAACAAATTTGACAGCCGGTACACCAATAACCTGCAGATAACTAAGCACAATTAAGAAAATTATAAGAAAAAGCAACTTAAGAAATGAACTAAACAAACTTGAATTATGTCTTTGCTAGTAACACGAAAATAAAACTCCTCGCTTACTCTAAACTCTGTTTTTGAAAAATTTTTATTACATCAAAGTCGTAAACATGCTTGTTAGATTTAAAATCAGCAAATGATTACGCGTTTAGTTGGCACAGCAGGACCGCCAACCGTTGATATTGGAGATCCGCTAACCGGAACACCTGGTTTATTAGATTTCTCGCCTGGTGCAAGCACAGTGGGTGCTTCCGCAACTGGTTTTCCTAACTTCTTCATTAAATTCGCTGTCTAAACCACAAAAATTGAATCAGAACAAGTACCAAATTGATAACTATTTCTTTTACCGTCGAATTTCATTAAAAGCCAACAGAACCCTTACTTTCTGATGCTTGCTGCCTCGTACGTGTGATTCATAAGTATCTTTTCCGGTGCAAGTGACATTACATGTTTCACATCGAAATGATACACGAGACTTTGATAGCGTTTGTCCCTCACCCTTTTGCACAGCTTCTTTTTTCTTATGTTTTTGTCCATCCATATGCTCTTTATATGTCTGAGTATAGAAAATATATCAATTCAGACGCGTAGAAGGGCAGGGAAAACTATGAACTTCATAAGCAAAACATATGATTAACACAACCACATAATGCTTTATATTTTTACTCAAAAAGCTGTTAAGCTTCAATTATACACTTGAGTTCATGAAAATTAAGATGATGCACTCACCTGTGCACCTGCACAACTAATTTTGCAAACTTCACAGTAAAACTGTTGCATATCAGTAGGTCTTCCTTGTCCAAAACGTTTATTCGTGAAATTTCCACGACCTATATCGATATTTTGATATGACAAAAATTTTGGTCAGTCTACATTCCAGGAACATTTTAAGAATTATAGACTGTGACCATATACATTAATTAATAAAAACCATTACTTCTAACGAAATACTTCCATCATTTATCACAAAAGTATTAAAATGCAGTAATTAATATCAAGTCATTCTGCCATAATAAGAAAAATAACAAGAAAACTTGATTACCACTTTCTGAATAGTGATTGACACGTACCGTTCTAGTACAGTGCGGAAGAAGAAATGAAAAACAACGATCTTCAACTTTAATCCCATTTGAAGTATAAAACTACTTAACCTTTATTTCCGTTGTATCCTACCCGCCCAGAAGCGCTGCCATTACTACTACCACCTGTAATTGCGATATTCGATGAACTGATTCCAGAAAACGAACTTGAAGTTCCACTATAATTGCTGGTGCTTGACTTTTTTGCAGTTCCCATCCAGACATTTGCTGCACCAGCTGCCTTGGACTGTAGATAACTGCTGGCAGCTGCGTATACTGCTGCATCGTAGCTGTTATAATTTGATGCTAAAATTACATAAGATGGAAAATTTCAACATTTTTCAACAGTGTCTGAAAAATTTACATCATGAAATACCTCTTCAAATGAAACCGACCAATACAAATATTATAAAAACTATTAAAGTGAAAAATAAATAGAAAAAATATTCAATTCATTTCCTTACTCGAAAATTTCTGAAAAATACTTGAGCTGCTTGTTCCTGTTGCTGACGACGTGTTAGCTGGTTGACTGGCTACTGTCGTACCTATTCTTGTTGCACCTACATATGAGCTATTACTTGTAAGATTTGTAGCAACCGAAGCAGCTACAGCTGCAGCAGCGGCTGAGCGTAGTGTGTAATCTAAAAATTATAATGAGTGTTCCACATTACTAGAATAAAAAAACTTCAAATGATATAAAAACTGATTGCATTTCTCTATATACGTAAAATTTATATATATATGCAATGATGAAATGTGTTAATAAAACAGCACATAATAACCACCAAAATGAAAGTGGTTCGTATGTATTCGAAAAAGCAAAATATACTGCGTAATCCAACAACTCATAGCAAAATCCAATTTTGGTCAAAAATTCCCAAGTTTTCCTGTCTTTCACGGTTGCGTTATGTATTTTAAATCGAAAACAATTCATGCAAAGGAAACAAACCAGATAAAGATGTATATGTACCACCTGCCGAAGATACTGAACCAACAGTAGCATATGAATCTGTTAAACGTGTTGCAGTATGACCTGGGTATGCGGCCGCAGATGCACTAACAACACCAGTTGCTGCTGCAGCTTGCAACTGCAAATTACTGTAGTTCTGCAAATTTATACCTTATCAGTTTTTTGAATCTAGGATAGACAAATCAGGCAGGTAAGCAAAACAATCCCAAAATATTTATGCTTCCGAGTAAGAAGAGAAACTTGAATGTAGCTGAGAATATTTATTTTCATGAATTTTTGATAATATCTCACATTTTTCACAATTATAAAAATAAACTTGAGAAACACAAACGCTTACAACCTGCTGCACCTGGTGCTGTTGTTGCTGCTGTAAAGACGCTACAGCTGCAGCAGTTTGTCCATACTGAGCATAAGCAGCTGCTGCCGAGGGGTTTGCATATGCAGCGTAAGGTGAAGGAGTTGGAGCTGCCGCACTCGAGAAACTACAATATTTTTTTAATAAACAGATAAAGAAAACATTATTTCATGGAACAAGGAAGAAAGAAGCTCATTTACTCAGAGACATTGATATCACATTGTTCTTATACCTGGCATAAACACTAGTTGGATTTGTAGCTCCTACTGTAGCACCAAGAGTTGGGGTATGGGGTGTTTGTTGCGACTGAACAGCATTGTACACTGCTGCTGCTGGCGAGGATGCGTAAGTTGAATTGTAATTCCTGGAATTCTCACGCCTATCAAGAAAATTCCCTTTAACGATCAGACAAATTACATGACACAATCAATAAAAAAATATCATCTCAAGTATTGCTGAAAATGTTCAAAACTACTCAACTTATTACAATACAGCAACCAAAGCAATTAGTTAGCCATCCTTTACAGTAAGTGCTATTTGTACACTAAATAAAATTTCACAATTATAGACCGTTAGCACATCTAAACCATTCTTAATTTGGTACTCAAAATCCTTGATTTAAGCTTAAACGAGGATAGAATTAAAATCTTGACAATGGAACAGTAATACAAATGATTGAAACTAAACCTTCTGTGCTCAGATCTTAAAGACAAATTTAAAACACGCAAACGCCATGTTAAAAAATGTTACTAATAAATAATGAAGTTATTCATTACTCAATGTCATTGTAATACATAATGACATATTAAAAACCTCACCCATACTGATTTTGACCCGTGAAGCTATACATTTTACGAAATTTCGAAAAAGATCAGTTTCTGCTCAAACAATACTAATAAACCTGAAATTGAAAGAGATTAATAGAACCTGAGTTGTAATGTAGAAATAAAGGCGAAGATAATTCTACTTCATCTATTGTAATCAGCAAGTCCTTTCTGTTATTAAACAAAGCAAACTTACACCCCTAAGACTACTCTTCAAACACTGCGAAATACTACTTCGTAGCATAACCACAACATCCAAAGTCGAATTCATCTCAAATAATCAATACACCCAACTACCGTAACCCTTCGCAGAGTGTGAAATATTGCAGCCATAAACCTCCTACCGAAATTTAAGTCAGACTATCGAACAAGGCTGGTCCCCTCTTATATCATACTCTAGAATTTATCATCAGTAATCACTCAACCTATTAGTAACATATCCACCGCTCACAGCACTACAATTCCAGTCGCATACATCCAATCTCTGAAACCACACTATTCCCAGAGGAAGTAGTGATCTACCTATCACAGGATGATGGTTTCATGGATGTACAATGCAACCTGATAAGCGGCAAGTAAAATAACTACGGAAGCATTTATTTTCATACATAAACCATACATAAAAACAAAACACTTTAGAATTCATCAAATTAAGATTTCCTTTCATTTCTTTTCTGCTTTACTTTTTGCTTTTATTACTCGTGCGACAATCTTCTGCTCTTCAATCAGAAAGGCCCGAATAATACGTTCACGCACAGCCGCTGCCGACAAACATCCACCATATGCACGAGTCACATGTTTCAATCGTTTCGTCATTTTATGAAGTTGACGTGGACGTGCTGGGGTGATCTTAAAAAAATGCACATGCTAATTCTTCTTTTAAACCTATTAAGCGGATCAATTTGAATGTACATAGGATGAAAACTAGCTGCACTGAATGAATTTCATAGCACTCATAATTCAGTAACTAACGAAATAATGTTCTGATTTCCAAACAAAATCTAATCCAGGTCACTGTAAACTTATTTCTAACTAATTTTAATAGCAATATAATTGAATTTGTCACTATTGCAATAACAGATTCACATACCCTTTATCAATATTTATATTTAAAATATTACTGCAGTAAAAACTTGAGCATAATTTACTCAACAGAAACACAAACTCAGCACTCAAATTATTACGCATTCTGCATATTCGTCTCATCAAATTATGATGCAAGTAAAATGAAGGAATTAACCTACTCCTTTAAGTTTGACTCCGGTGTCGCCACATCGCGGTACGGAACCCTTTTTCTTTCTATACAAGAATACCAAGCGCCCACCAGGTGTTTTTGACACCTACAAGTTAAAATACCGCCTGACTGCAATAAAAACTTAGCTACATATTTTTCAAATATAACATAATGATTGAGACTAAACGAAAACGCCAAGCAAAGGACTGCACTAATTTTCAAAATGTGCAGAGTTTATTCGCGCAACTGAACTACAAGTTTCTGAACAAGCAATATGTAGATGCTGTAATCTAAGTAGAATTAATTCGAACTAAAACACTAAACCAGTCTCATCATCCAAACAATTTTCGAATTCGAAAATAAAATATTTCCTTCATCTAATAACCGAACATACCTTAGTTTTATTAGAGGCTGTATTGTAGCACAAACGTCGGCGATACGTTAGTCTTTGCGGCATTTTAACCTTAAAAAAATCACAGTTTCTAGATGAAATTTTTTATTGAAAGTAACTTCCGGGCAAAATCACTCGACTTCATCATTCCTTTACAAAAATGTTATGCTGCATTAACAAATATCGACGTCCAAGACTCCATCCAGCAATAAACTTAGCCAAGATAAACAGAAACGCACTTCAAGGAAGCGACACACGTTTCTTCTTTCATTTATATACTAAAAGTAGGTAAATGCGATGAAAGCACAACTTTTGAGGCGTTATGAAATTTCCATCTCACTTCCATGTTAAGTAAATAAATTTCTAATTAAAAATGAGACCGTAAGAATAACGTAGAAATTTTTGATGATATTAAATATCAATCTGAGGTATCTAAATTTAGCTGAAAAATTTACATCACCATACCGCAGCAAATTTTTTGTCTGTGAAAGTGAAGTAGCACAGCGAGGTTGCGGTTTGTAAGCAAAAAAGCCATAAAGTACTGTCTTAATTTTTGCAATGAATGCTGCAAGATAAATATCTTTCGATCTTTAGCAACCTTCTCCACTATTAGAATATATTCTTGTTACAATGCATATATTCTAATAGTGCAACAGTAATTCACAGTTGCAGCGTTTTTGTGTGCTGTAATGAGAAAATGACATTTGTCAAAAACAGTTTACAGTGTAACTACCAGGAATCTGAAGGATATTTGTGACATGCTTTGAATATGCAGAAATTTTTGTGTTAATATTACAGATACTGCAAAATCAATGTCTGGAACTCATTTTCTACTCGGAATATGCACCAAAGATTATGTAATTCTGGCAGCAGATCGATCATGTTTTGCACATGGAGCCCTTATTGTTGCCGATGGTTATTTTTTATGTTTATTGTAATGAAATATTTACTTGAAGTAGTCATATTATGGTAAGAATTGCAAGAAAGTTGTAAATTTTAATATCGGAAGTTATCTAAGTAATCTTGATACAGGACAGGACTGATTTTTTCAATCCAAGAAACATTAATGACTGCATTGAAAAAATTGAAAAGAAAGTATCAATGTTCATCATTCAGTCGCTTTCATAAAAAGAATATAGAAGGAAAGAATGCAGTGATCATTCATTACTGTAAAGTATAAGACTCTGACAAGCACTTTTAAATTGATTATCGTGATTTTATCTAATCACTACTTGTTTATTACAGAATAGTGATTCATATTTTGTTACAGACGAAGACAAGAAATTCACGTTAGGCAGTAAGCTAGCGATGATATGCATCGGTGAAGATGGTGATGTAGCACAATTTGGAGATTGGTGCAAACGGAATATTCAGCTTTACAAACTTCGATATGGTGAATAGTCATGTAATATTCCTATACATAAAACTTGTATCGCTGTTTATGCGCTACGACTTCCTCTTCAGTTTTGTCTCTTACTTAGGATTAGTTGTGAGCAAATCAAGTTACTTTTTAATTCACTATAATTAATATTTACACGTTCTCTAATATTCATCAATCATCTATAGATTTTGATTTCAACTTTTGGTAATGGTTACTAGCTTAAAAGATGAATTATTAAAATACTAATACACTTTAGGCTATGAAATGAGTCCACGTTCAAGCCATCATTGGATTCGTCGAAGCATTGCTGAAGCTTTGCGATCAGAGGATAACTATATTGTCGATACTTTAATTGGTGGCTATGATACCGCTGAAAATAAAGCTTTCCTAGGCTCTGTTGATTATTTGGGAAATGCTATTTCTAATCAGGTTCGAATAATTCTATCCACTTCCTTTTTTGGAGAATGCGATATATTATCAATATTTTCAGTATTTTTATTGCAGTATATGTAATTTTCATGCCGATTTTCGACAAATCTAATGACATGGTTACTGACTTCTGTGAGCCTTTCTCTGCCTTGATTTTTAGCAAGCAGTTCATCTAAAATTTTGTTTCAATTCAGTAAAATTTAAAAATTTATATTTTAAGCCATATATTTTTCGAGGATTCAGTGGTCGATTTTCCTATGCAATTTTGGATAAAGGATACAAAAATAGTTAGTTCTAACTTCCTGTGATATTTATTGTGTTCTGTAAATCATTTATTTTTATGTATAAGTCGTAAAATAATAAAACTTATCGAAATCATGTTTTTTGAAATTAAACTAGTTTAAAATTTAACCATCACTGAAAACGCTAAAATTTCTTAATCTATCCGTTTCTCAGTCATGTTTCATAAGCTAACGACTCATTATCATATTCTCATCTTAATAGATTTCCATGCAAAAAAGTGTTCCAGATTCTTCATTATTCTTTCAAATCATGATGAAAACACTTCACCTTATTATTCACTACAACTTCCTTATATTCTTTTAAGATATGACGGAGAATGAAGGATTGGATTTATTGAAGAAATGCCTACAAGAATCGAAGCGGCGGTTTATTGTTAATTTGCCATTATTCCAAGTAAAGATTTTTCATTTTACACTAGTAAAATCGAGATTGGAATCTGGAATTCACTTTGTAAATGCATCTGATTTTCATTCATTTCAGTATTATATTATTCCAGAACAGAATTCACGTTTTAAATCGAACACTAACAGCGTTTTATTAAATTTTTTAGGTAACAATTATCGACAAGGATGGAACGAGACAACTGGAGGACATAAGAGTTTGAATGAATCGTTCTTAGTTCATTCAGTTGGTCATTTCTGTTTTTACTGTGATCATTCTAATTGTACTTCAAGTAAATTTTGATGCTTAGAATGAAGTGGCTTGCACTATGGAGGCAGTCTATATTTGCAGTGAACTTTGTTGTGTTTAAAAAATGTTTCTAACGTTATAATTCATGTTTAAGATATAAGGTTTTGGATAACATTCTCTATTAAACGTAGAAGAAAGCAGGCAAGATTTTCACAAACGAGAAACTTGCAGGAGTATGTGTTTGAGTGTAAAGTTGTCTTAATGTTAGTTTTCGTTATGACTCCTATAGTCTTAACGCTGGTGTTAAAATATAATTTAATGCGATATAATCAACATTTCCTAACTTGGCAGTTTGAAATAGTAGTTATTTTATGATTTAATTCATGAGGCGGGAAGAGAAAGAGTTAATGCTGTGATTATTAAATAAATTAAACATACACAAATTGATGATAGTATTCTGTTTTCAGTATATTTGATTGGGATAATAGGAACAGTAATCAAAGAATTGTGCTGCATAAAGAGTGCATCATGACGGCAAATATCATTTATTTGAATATTCAAGTACGGCAAAGCAGACATAGAATGCACATTGGATAACAAATGAATTTTTTCTTGCATAAAAATTTTACACCGCACTAGGATTAACAGTTCATAACTACAAGTATTTGAGATTCATTTTGTAGATTAAGTAGCATGTACGTGGACAGGTTCCTGAAGTGAATGTGTCGTTAATTTCATTTGTTTCACCCTTCTTTACATCAAACGCTTCTCTGAGTTTCTGTTGTAGCTGTGATTCCATATCTTTTTCAGGATAAAGTATCAAGAGATGACAAACACGTCCACCAAACATAGCTAAGTTTCCCAAATGTGCTCGAAGAACTTTTATATGAAGTATTAAATCAAATATTTCAAGAACTACTGCTTTCAAGTAGTCTACAAATACCTTATTCTGGTAGTGTGTAACTTCGTAAAACTTAAACTCTCTATGACAAGTAGCGCCGTACTGATCATCATCAGTTGGATATCGTCGAACTATAAATTGATACTTTGCACAATTTCTACGAAACTCTTCAAAATCATGTCGGACAATTACTGCTGAATACAACTTGTAGTCTTCATCTTCAGCAATGAAGCAACTTGAACCAGCAACTACGGATTCATGAAGACTTTGATACACACTCAACCAATTTACATTTGACAACTTCGGTACGGCTACGAAAACAGACTGAATATAATCAGTATCAATTACGCAAGTTCTAGGTATTAAGTCAATTAAGTTTCTGCTAGCTAATGTGCTGTAAGGCAGTTGATATCCTGCGGCAATTTTAATATTATTTTCAAACGTATCAGCATTGCGTCTCAGACGTCTATCAATATCATGAAATCGCCTATAAAGCTTCATGCTCAGTACAGATAATTCTTTTTCTGGTGGGTAGGAGTACTCATCCCATATAAACTCGGTAATATCACTACCATCGCTTTCTTTTTGCTCTTTAATATGCTCGAAAAGGTAAACATTTTGCCGTTCCAATAAACCAGCAAAAGAGCATACGAGAGATTGAAGCAAATTTTCAACTGAATAATCAAGTTGTTGCATATCTCTGGATAGCTCATGAAGTTCACATCTTGAGACTGCTTCTAACGAAGGCATATTTACAGATGAAACTGTCGTAAAACTTGATACTGCTTTCTTGAACTTAAACAGCTTCTCCCCCTCCGTCCGGTCGGATGGTGACGCAATTATGAACAATTCTTGTGATGACAATATATCTTCATATTCAGCTTCCATCTCACTTCTGAATAACTTTATATTATGTCTTATAATCACGGAATGAAAATCTTTACTGAAAAAGTCACGAACCAAATAAGTAAAGATTTTTTGAATTTTTTCAAAAATTCACTCTAACAAAAAAAGAAGAATGATTATTTCGAACTAAAAAGCATCTTATTCAATGAATTTTCAGTCCACGTTTATTTTCACATTCAATTCACTCTTTTCATTTTGCTAGCACACTAATTTGGAAGACAAATTTTTCAGTAAATGAAAGATTACTGATTAATTCTGCTTTTGCGCTTCATCATTTAAAACCTTGATAATAATTTACCTTTCCAGCTTTATTCCAAAAAATTTTCGGATTTCTTGCAAAATTTGACCTAAATTTGCAGCACCCTTACGCCTCTTGACAATTTCGCTGAAAGAACAAATAATAATTATTAATCGAAAATTAAAGCAGATTTACATTTTAGCGGGAAAATGGTGACACAACAAATGCCTGTGCCTAAAATTGTTGCATTTTCATTTTTCTAAGCTCAAAAATCAAAAGATAGATACCGAGAACAATCGCCTATAGATTCAAGAATGATGCATTCTTTCAATGAATAAATATGTATTTTCACAACTGTAAGTATACTTTCTAGGAAGAAAGTTTCAGTAAGTGAACTAGCAAGTGATTTTTCTAGGAATTAGCACTCGGGATGGAATATGTATTCCACAAAATATTGAGAAAGGACGCAAAAATTCTGAGAAATATCTCGGAAAAAGCAATACAGAAGAGCTTGCCGAGTACTGAAAGAAATTTGTGAAAAATACTACTTTGAATAATTTTTGGCAGAATTATTTAGACGAAACGGAAAGAAATTCTCGAACAAATTTCTATAAAGAAGTCGCTAGCAACGATAACTCGGATGCGAGTTTTTGGAATCTTCGCATTTCACTTTTATTTGCAAAAATCCTACAAAAACTTTTTTTAAGCTCTTGCGAGAATTTTTCTCTTGATCGCAGTAGTTTTAAAAAGTATTCCAAAAAGTACCGCGAAAAAATCTCAAAAAATGTCTGAAAAAACAAACAAAATCTTCGAATAGATAAAAAATTTCAAAAAAGATAAAATGCGAAATTTTACTGAATACTGAGCTATGCTCTAAGGGATTTTTGTTCTGTGAAAAAATTCTCCGAAATTATGCGCGAAAATGTTTAGAGGTATCAAAATAGAAAGTAGAACCGCAATTACTTCGTAATACTTGATGAAAAATAATAAGTGCAAAGAAGTTCAGGTAAATGAGTGGTGTGTGCGCGTGTGCGTGCGTGTGAGTGCGTGTGCGTAGTACAGGCCAAACTGGACTGCACTTTACTCTGCATTGGTCAAGTGAGTAATAAACAAAGCGAAGGGCAAAAGAAATAGACAAGTCGAGTGGACGAAAGAAGAAAAGGTTACTTGAATTCTACTTCCAATACTTTCCCAAACTATTGAAGCTATACGCGATATTGAGGTCAAAGGGTATTACATGCAGGGCAGTGTGAACAAATGTTTCTCAGCGCCAATTCAAAACAAATATCACAGAAAGACAATTTATTCATTTCATGCAAGTTCAAATCTGAATATGAGTTTTTGATCTAATATCAATGAAACTCGATAGCGAAGCAGATGGCAATCAAAAAAAAAGAAATTTGACAGATAAATTACTGATAGAGAAAATCACTAGAAACTTTTGGCAGGCATTTTTTCTCACTTAAATGATCAGAGTTTTCTTAATGTACTTGAATAATGTCAGAGGTCAGAGTCAAGAGAAACCAAAACATTTATTCTCGAATGTGATCTTTGGCGACGAAAAAACTTTCTGGAATATAGTTAACTTTTTTTATTTGCTTTTAAAGTAAAATTGTAAAAATACTTGTCAGCCATTTTGTGACCTTATTATTACTTTTTTAGGTTTGTTTGCTTCTCGATTTTAAGAAGTTTGACTTCACGTCTTTCACGTAATGATTATCATAGCTGAAAAAAAAATGATTTAAGCCGTCCAATTTCCAAAAATCTGATAGTTTCCGCGTAGAGAATGAATAGGTTCAAGAGAATTCAAGAAGACACAAAATTTCATGTGCTTCCTTTTTTGCAATTTTTTGTACTGTGTGGTCTAGTTTTGTTGAAATAATGATTTTATATGTCTACTAGGATTACTGTAGATTGTTTGAAAAGGCTGAGAAAACCCAGCTTATTTAATAAGCCAGTGAAATATTACATTTTGCAAATGATCAACCTTAGTTACATCAAGAAACAATGCAAATTAAAAATACCACATGTTAATTCATTAATAGATTAATATAATTTGAATTCAAAGTAATAATAAAACTGCAAACATTTCAAACAGTAATATGTGAGAGAAATGCAAAGTTATGCATGCACAAGATCATGGCTATATCAATTGAGGAATCTTATCAAGAAATCTTCAGAAGCTGAAAGATCGATAGAACCCAGATTAAATCAGTAATATGAATATAGAACTTTAAGCAACATTGTTATACTCTTATAAGTGGGTAAGATTTAGAACAAAAATACAAACATGAATAAAAGTTTTATAAGTAATTAACAGTGATGAAGACAATGTACACCACGGTTTTTTATATTGCGGTATTGTGTGTGTACACACTAAGAATATATAAGAATACTTTGATAAGAAATGATCAGAAAGTAGAACTGAAATGCCAGTTTTTGTACAATATTTTTACAAAAGTACTGAGTAAAGATATGATCACGACTAAAAAGTTTCTGATCACATTAATAAGGTAATAAGAATACTTTGATAAGAAATGATCAGAAAGTAGAACTGGAATGCCAGTTTTTGTACAATATTTTTACAAAAGTATGAACATATGTAAAAAGTTGGCTCTTTGTTGGGCTTAAGAAAATGAGATCAGTTGATTTGATTGATATTGACTGATCACTTGCACAGTTATCGATTCACAATTCGAAGAAAATTGCAATATGGACATAATAAAATTTCTTCTAATGCAGATGGCCAGCCAGCAAGAACATTCTTGAATCTTTTTCGGAATAAACTTTGCAACAGATTAATTTTGCGTATTATACGTCGAGGCGGTGATTTAGGCAGAATAATCATACTCATTTGTGCAATCTGAAAAAATCACATTGATAAATTATAACAAATTTATCAATGATCAAGAAAAGAATTCAAATTTTTCAATAATTTTACGATGATTATATTGATTTTTTCAAACTTTACAACTAAATTAATCTTGATAAATATTATGAAAATAATTTATGAATACTTACAGCATTCAAATATTGGCTATATTCTCTTTGTAAATCCTTAAAAAATTGACCACCTACATCTTCACGCCATTCAAAGGCATGATCAGAAAATAAATTTATTGTATAACCAGAGCGCCTAATGAACACTCCGCTTCTAGGAGAGAGATATTTGAGATGATCCATGTAAGTGTTAATCTGAGACTCCTTTTTGTGAAAGTTAACAATTTCAATTAGATGTGGTCCTTCTGAATATTTTGGTTTCACAAATGCTGGCCAGTATTCCTAAAATATTAAAGTTTTTTTATAACACTGATAATTTTTGCACATATCAACTCTTATCATTTAAATTACATTTCGCGTTTTAGAACTTTGAAAAAATATAAGCGCAAATAATAAAGTGATCAAAACCGGATAACCAACGTTTTGAGCACGGTATTGTTGAACAGCCCTTTCGACGTGTTCTTCAAATTTGGACATAAACCGTTGGCAAAACATCAATACCCATATATTCCATATAGAACGTGTCACATATCTTTTTTCTCGTTCCCACATTATATTTGGTATCTGCAAAATTTTTGCTTATTATCAAATATTAATCCTCCGATTCTTAACTGAAAACTAATTACACAAGTCACGTGAGAAAGAACTCTAAAACTGCACATTTTCACAATTTTGCAATATTTTTGAAATATGTTTCGTCTACTAAAAACATTTCTTAACATTTTTTGAAGTTTGCTTCTATCAAATTAGTTGTTTAATTTTATTTCAAATCTTTTGACGTAAACGTGGTATTTTTTCAATTATGGCATTATATATTTTTGAAATATGCAAAATAAAGTATTTTGAAAAGTAGTAAAAGTGAACTTTTTTCATTAATTCAAGTCCTTTGAGATACGTTGCTTCACACGGATTATCCATGACTGACTTTGTTCGGCTCAAATGCAACTGAATTGTACGTTTCGTAAACGTAGGCAATGAAGATGTCATTTTCAAAATGCCTAGCCTTTTGAACAGCTTATACGCGTCATGAGAAGAACGTATTTTCCAAGTGCGCAGAATTTTCAATTTCTTGATCAGTGTCTTCAGAAAAATTCTACGCTCTTCCAAAGTTTCAGAACGAACTTTGTTCAGAATTTCAGTTTTAATTCTGTTGAAATCCAAAATTTCTTTAACAGATGCCATGGTAAAATAAAAAATACTTTCGAACTGAAATAGGCAAAAATCAGTTTCAGTTTTTAACTTCCAATTAATACAACGATGTTGTCATCGGAAAGTCGCATTTAAAATGAATAAAATTTACAAAATCAAAATTTAAAATAAAGGATGATTCTAATATGCATTCAAATTTTATTCGGATCTTCAAATCACGCTTGTATTCTCATGGCTAACGATTCCTCATGGCTAACGATGTATAACGCCCGGGAATTCTTCTATAATGATCTTTCGAATAATTAATTCGATAATATATAATCAAATTATCAAGTCAGATAAGTGGAGGTCACAAAAACGTCTATTATTATTATTAATAAAGTTTATTCTCGCCCTTAATTTGTCCTAGAATGGCTACTATTTTAAAGTTATTAATTTAATTTATGCCAAAGTCATTTTAAGTCTCTTATTACACTTAAGTACTTGTCAGAATGGCGTCACCAAGTAACTTGAGATCAGTTCTTTGACATATCTGTGTTCAATTCCTGAAAAAGTATTAATTACTGCAAAAATAGGCAGTATTTTTATACAATTTATTCTTTCGCGCAAAAATCATTTCAGTTATAAGATTAAATTTCTAAATAATTCTGCCGCCAATTTAGGCATACAATTGCCACGCAAATTTTTTATGGCAGTAAAGAGTATTAGTCTCATGCGATTGACGTTCAAATTTTCGTAGACATTTTCAAAATGGCCACTTCCCTTAGAGGACAATTCCCAAATCTAATGAACAAATAACGTTTCTTCTTTCGTGATTTTGCATAATTATTGGTTGGAAAATGCCTTAAAATTTTTTGGGCTGAGGACGCAATAAATCCAGCACTAATCTCACTGAAGATTTTTACCTCCAAAATTAGTATTGGCAATTTTCGGACATAATAATGTCTTTTGATCAACAGTTATTCGTATGGAGATTACAAGAATACTACTCTATGAAATGAGCGTGAGGTGTTCAGAAGTGGTCCAATAACATCAAAAGTATGAAAGGGCTGAGTGATAGTGAGATATATTGAGTAACAGGGTCGCGAAGTAAGGTCGAACATTACCAGCAGTAACTTTACATGTTACCATGGACTGAGAATCTGGGGTTGATTGAGTCAACTATTGTTTCAGCTTTTATAGGCGAATCACAACTCCCTAGTCTTTTACAGACATTTTTTCTCTCTGATCTTAAACAATTCACGTTCATACCCGAATCGACTGATGCATGGTTATAAATTAACACAACCTTTGACCTTAAAATGTGGGCAATACAGTTATACAATGACCGTTTGCACATAATCATCATATATGAGATATGGGATAAAAGAACATGCTAAAGAAATAGGATATGTATTATAACAAAAAACTATGCAAACATTCTTAACACAAAATTGATAGCAAGTTTAATTTTGGTAAGTTTTATCAATGTATATTTAAAAATACTTGAGAGTATGTTGTTAAAGATATTTTAAAAATATGAGAGTATATTTAAAGTTAAATCTTGAAAAATATACTCTCATGAATTTTTGAAAAATTTGTGATATTAAAACATCAAATTAGATGTCAACTAGATACTTAGCAGTTAGACAGCAATTTTTTACGTAAGTATGATAAATATTCTTTTCGCAAGCAGAAACTTTACCTAACTAAAACAAGTATGTTTTCTCAGAAACAACGTACTGCTCATATGGTGTGTGTGATTTTGTAAATAATATTTTCTTAAAGACGTCAAATCTAGTATATTCCGTAATGATGAGTACTTAACTCGATGTAATAATATAGGTAAGAACTGACGTATTGCAAACATTATGAGTAAGTAATAAGTGAATGTATCATAGAGTATGTTTTTATGTGTGTTAAAATCATTCATTTTGTTAGCATAACTTATTATAAAATTTAAATATTTTCAGCGAGATAAAATGAGATACAAATCATCATATTGTATTACAGAGCTACAGTACGTTTGATAAATGTAATAGTGTTTGAGAAAAAATGACAAAATCTCTCTAAATTGTGATTACGGTTTCTGCAGTGAGCTATACCATGAAAAGTATTATAGTCTAGCATTAATGTACATCGGTGCTTCGATCTGGCAATTTCCCTCCATACTTTTAAAGTTATGAAAAATTTTAAATTTCTATTATGATTAAAACTCAAAGTAAATTGCTCGTTAACGACTACAGTCTGTATTCTAAAGCACATTGTTATCTTGTTAAATGCCTATAAAATTGGTTGAACTGTCCAATTACTACAGAACTTACAAAAGCATTACGTAATGCTTGCGAAAGAATTACGCAAAAATTGCGAAAATATTATTCAACGTTTCAAAACAATTACATAAAACTTGCAAACGAGATTACAAGAAAAACCACTGGAAATTTTTGAAAAAATAACCGAAAATGTTTAAAAGTCTTTAAATATTAATATCCGGAATGATTGTAAACGAAGTACTATTACTCTAAAGCTTTTATATTTAAAGGTAGGTAAGATTGCATCTGTTGCTATTACAAGTAGTAGACAATAAAATGATTGAGGTCATAAGATCTCTGGCGGAGCAAAGGTCAACAATAATCCTATTCAGTTATCTCACTCAAAAAAATGTGGACTGACTATTTTTTGTGCTGAGAAAGTAATTATTTCAGATATATCATTACTTATATCAAGCGAAAAAAATGATGAGATAATCATCATTTCAGTAAAGATAAGCAATTGACAGAAAGGTCATTTTGTCTGGGATTTCTGCTCCAACCTTTGACATTCATAACTTACAAAAAAAAAACCGATTGCTGTTATACGAGTATTACGCACAGATTATTGCTTACAAGGGAATATTGATTAGCTATAGCAAGCTTCACGTTTCATATTTGTTTTTATAATAAGAATGGTGTATTTATTTATATCCTTTGTGCACATTAACACAAACTATTTCTTACAAAATTCATTGCAATAAAGATATAAGATTTTACAATTCATGAATGTTTTGAATGCGTACAAGACAAATTTGATCATATGATTGTTGGTCGATTGATTGATTGATTGATTGGTTGACAAAATCATTTGAATTTCGTGAGTACTGTAGTTAATCAAAATTCAAGTCGGCATTTTAAATTTATATTATTTAACTCTGTATATTTTTAAAATATCAATTTCAGACTTTTGTAAGTACTGTCTTACGTTTTTACTTGCGTTATTACTGCTCTGTTTTATTATTGATTCTTTTTAAACATTACGTTTATATTTTTTATTTTACACTTTTTGCACATTATTACACTTTTTAAATACTTTTTGTACTTTCAAATGACCCTGTAGTAATATTTTTCATATTCCTTTTGGAAATAGTCTAAAATTATTTGCTTTTATGTTTAAGTGAATAATTCAATGTCAACTGAGGATTAATCAGTATGTTTGTTAGCAATAGCAGTAATGAGTCTTCAACACTTTTTCAATGCTAGTTGCATTTTAAGAACTCGAAAAAGTTAATCAGAATTACAATATTACTTTAGCATAAAATGATACAAAAATGGCGATTAATACTAGTTCGTTGTAAGATCTGATTTACAAAAGTAGTTTTTAAATATTTACTCAAAATTGATATTCACCTGTAATATTGATAAATCAATCACCCATGTTAATCTTCATACCGTATCATACAGTACATTTTTACAGAACTATTATTTTCACAGCTATAGTACACTATTAAAAAAAATACTGAATCTTGGAAAATGTTTGACTTCCATTTTTGTATCATTTTATGCTGTAAAGTAGTATTGTAATTCTGATTAACTTTTTCGATTTCTTATTTGAGAAAATTTTTGAAAATTTACATTACTGAATTTTGACGTAAACACTCAAGGTTCAAGTGAATTTTTTAATCAGTAAGTATGAAGTAAGCGATCTTTGTCAGAAAATATCGTATGCTGTGATTAATGCAATAGTATCGAATTGCAAATTTTATTGAGGTTATTAGACAGAGTAAACTATTAATAACAATCATTTTGCGGCAATTAAGCATGCAGTTGTTTCGGGTCAAATCGCATTGCCAAATATGCACCGCTATTGGTGTGAATAAAAAACGACAAATATATAAATGTGAGATCAATACAACGCAGTGTTAATTAAACTCACATGAAGATGACCTTCTCTTAGGGTTAGAGAAGTCGCAGACCCTTTAAGGGTCAGTGAGATGTGCATTCGAGGGAAAATATAATCACAAATATTTATGTGCAATTTTCACTTTCAGTCAAGAATATTTCAATTTCAATCCATTATTTTGCTTCTTTTTTTAAAAAAATAGTAAGCAAATTTACAATTAATTTAATTAACTGTTATTTAAACTTTAAAAAATACCGCAAACAGAAATCATCGAATGAAAATAAAAAATATTTTCGTTAGAAAGTGAAAATGGAAAAAGAAATGAGAATGAAAATTTGGTATAATAAAAATGAAATCGCAAAAATCAAATCGTTATTCAGCTAAATACGTCGCAAATCAGTTCTTTCTGATATCAGAATAATTTTGCAATAATGTTGAACTATGCATAATGCTTCAAATTTGATGCTCTTTCAAATATGCAAAAAATAGTAATATAAAACACTAACAAAATAAGATATAAACATCAATAAAAAACAAGTCATGGTCGCTAGAAGCAATCCGAAATAAACTCGATCTCAGATTTAGCCCAGAATTTCGAGCTCAGATTTAGCTCAGAATTTACGCACGCAACAATATGCTACCCAAACTGTGCAGTGACATTAATGAACACTTCGCATTACAAATTATCAAACTATTTAGATTTGAATTTGTAGCAAAAAGCATATATTGAGCACGAAATGATTTATTCCATTTCAATCACCATCACATAGTTTAATCACTGATATTCTATCAAAGTTATTACTGTGACTGGTCCAGTGGAACAACTTCCAACTTTCAATTAGAGGGTTTGAGAGTAAAATATTAAGAAGAATGTTTAAAAATTAGCAATGCTGCACGCTTACGCCATTAGTATGTCTTCAAATATGGTTCTGCTCCTCCAAATAGATTCAAATGATTGCATATAATAACTGCTCAAAATATTTCTACAAATAAATTACAATATAATTCACAACAACATAAAGTCAACTGATGCATTATTGAATTACTGATTTTTGCCTACAAAGTAGAAAGCTTATTCAGTGTGAGTATTACAAAGGTGTCGATCCCTTGTGAGTGCAATATATTATAGGAGCAGATAATATTTTTCAAAGGTCATCAGGATCTCTTTACAACTATGACCTTTGCTTCTTTTTCAATCAGCTGTAACAGAATTATTGACTTGTGTTGACTAGAGAAGAATTACCATAGTTCAATATATTGAGCAGTGGGAAATTTACACCAAAACAAATGCATTTTGCAAGGTTATATCCTACCGATGAGACCACTTTTTTGATTAGTTTTGCTGTTGAATACTACTTCTCCTACTGCAGTATATAATTTAATTACTAATTCTTTCTTCAAATACTTTCCACAATAACTAAAATTATATAACTTCAAAAATGTTGATACTCGCAAATAAATTCGTATTCTCTGCATTATTAAGCGAACAGGATTTTAAAAATCGGTCTTTACAAGAAGTCACTACCAAAATCTAATATTTCTCAAGAATCACTGAGTTGTTGGTTATTCAACGTTTCAAGAAATATGAGTCACTAATTCTATGGAAAATAATATGCACAAAATGACTTTAGGTCAAAAGATAGTTAGGCATAAATGATCATGCATTAAATTTTTTTCGATTTTCCTTCTTGAAAGCACGTAATTACGTCCATAGTCCGTTATGTACATTAATATAGACAAATTTTTTTATTCAAACATATCTCAATTCTTCGATAAAATCACCCAAACACAATGGAACTGCTGCAGCTATCGTTCAGAACAATGAAATCAACTTTGTTTGGACAACAAATACAGCCTGAAAACAAAGAATACCGCGCCTGAGCTATTACATTTAAGCTGTACAACACAAAAATGGCTTTCATTTGTTCCTTCTATGCACAATGACTAACTTCAATTAAGATGGATATTTTAATAGTAAAGAAAAACTTGCTAAAAGTTAGATAACTTCCGTCAGCAATTTAGAACGCCTTTCTTCTATCATTATCACTGCTTTCTTCTCCAAGGATTTTTTCACCTTTAAAAGTTCTTGCATTATTTTTGCAAATTCATTGTGATCCTGCAACTCCCGATCGTATTTTGAATAAACCTGAATAAGAATTTTACGTAAAAAGAAAGCGATAATATTGAATTATTAAATTTCAGATTACAATTGCCAGATTATAATCATAGGTGAAGAATGTTATGCAAAGTTAACTCCATACATTGAATTCATAACAATATGTTATGATGTAGTAATTTTTACTACTGAAAATGGCTAAAATCAAAAGTACTACGGAATTTTCGAGCTGTATGAGGACCACTCGTATGAAAATAATTAAGTCAAACTATAAATTTTCGACCAACTAAAACTGAATCTTATAAATATTTCCACACAAATCCGAAAATTGTCTTACGTCATTTAAAGCCTTTCTATATTCATTGAGCAACTTTTTCGAAGCTACATTGGCCAAGTTTTCACGTCTTTCACGTGTTATCCGAGGCAAGGAAATATACAATACGGCACCTTCTTGTCTTGGTGTTACATTAAGTTTTGATTTTTCAATGGCGAGACGTGTAAATTTAATCATTCCTGGATTATCTGCGAAATCTACGGAAATCAATAATGGTGAGACTAATTTAATTCTTCCCAGCGTAATTAATTTGTACTGCTGCAAATGATCTTGAGCATTCATCAAGACATTACATTACTATTATTGTTTAATGTGAAGCTAGAATACGTTTAAAAGAATGGTCTAGATTTGATTGCAAACTTAAAATTATGAACCATTAAAATCAAAAAAGTAAAAAAAGTTTTAAGCCACTGAAAAATAATTTTCACCTTTCCATCATCTGTTTTCACAACAAAATCTTCATATGTCCGCAAATCAACTTTTAATGAAAGACTTTTAGTAAGTTCTTCAACAAAAATATCTTCCATAGTTTTCATTTCATTTGTTCCATGCTGTATAATAAAATCGGAAGTATAACTTTTTGTTGGATCACTATTACCAGTAGCATCTCCATCATCGAATCCTGTCTGAAGAGTTTATGTGATGCAAAAAAAGATAATTAATGGATAAATTTTTAGAAAAATATATTCACATACACTTGAAAAATAATCAATGAATCATATCCGCATTAAAACGTTACAATTATTCAAATGTCAATAGAACCTTCTGTACCTGATAAAATTTATAACTGAATCTGACTAAAACATGATAAATGTATACAACCGATGGATTACTACTACTTGTTGAGTTCCACAAATTTATTCTGCTACTTAGAAGCTCATTTAAATCCGTAGTAATTACTTTCAAAGTCTAAAAACGATCTAAAAACAAAAAAATTACCCACTATTTTAGCCTGCCGTTTCTTTTTCAACGACAGTGGTGAGCAATGAAGTTCTCGAGACAGCAGACTATTACATATCATCAGTTGTGGATATGTTTTCATGTAGTGATGACCAAGAAAATATCTTTGCTTCTGAAAAAGATTTGGCCTCATTTGAATATGAACGAATCTCTGCCCTGAGCGAATCATTGACCTGAAAAGGATAACAAGAACATCACAACTCAGTAATTAAGAGAATTACTACTTAATCACTTTACATACAGCACCAACAAATCACACTTCACAGTAAAAACAATGAATCTGTGATATTTGCTTCTAAACAATGCTAGAATTTTAAAGCCGAACATAAACTTCTTCAAAACTATGCATTTAGAGCTTTTTCCATAACAATTTGTACAAAAATTAACGGCTGACAAAATTTGGGACAACAAGAAGTCTCGGTATCTCTTGCAAATTCCTCCCATAAGTTTGCATTTCATAAAATAAACTTCTAGTCCCAAAGAAAACCGCCCGCTTGTAATGAATTTCGGAATTCATCTTACGTGAAACTTCCTCTCAAAAAATTGACTCACTGAAATTATTTGGGGCTTTGTATGCAATACTGATAACTCTCCTCCATAACAAAAACCATAAAAAATGGAAGTATCCTTCAACACTCATACAAATTGTATTTTCAAATGATATTAATATTAACTTGCACCTAGCAATAATACTTCGTTTGTAAAAGAAATCCATAGAGAAAAGACTTTATTTTCTTTGTCTGCAAAGACAGGATTTTCATTTGCAATTAAGTGGAGACAATTTAGAAAATAATTCACATGCAAAAGATAACTAAATGATTGAGCAATCACCTCGTATTCAGAACGAAATAACATATTTAATGCATTCATAAGATTTACGGAGTGTTAAATATATTATTACTTGACAAGTAATAACCAAAAAGCAAGAGTGAAAAAATTTAGATCAAGTGAAATCGATGGATTTACAGGACAAAAATTGAGAAAGAACAAAGGGATACAAAAGGCACTAAAGGGTAACGATGTCAAAATAAAATTAAAATGCAAGATAAACAGCAGTATAGATTGAAAAAACAGAAGGAATTCGACATTTTAATCAAAGTAAAATTCAGGTTCACAAGTCAAAATTAGGCATATTAAAAAATAACACCAGTACTACCTGACATATTAATATTTACAAATGAACCAAATTTAGTGCTGAGTGATTATTTCACTCTTTTCTAATACAGTAGGGAATAAATTGAAATTAAAAGAGAAGCGAGGCCAAGAAACAAATAATTTATAGAAGATAGCTGTTTCTCAGTTTACTTAATTACAAAAAGTAAAAATAGAAATCCTAATTTGTTAATTACTGGTAAAAACATTGAAAACATTGTAATCAATACCTGAAAACTTGATTAAGTGTTAATAACTATATTTAAAATTCTATTTTAAAAAAAGAGAAATATAGCATTCCAAAATATACAAATAATTTGATCTCTCATGGGTTAAAAGCCAATATTTTTAACACAGCAACATTACGAATGTATTTTTGAAACAAGCTAAAGAAAGGTAGTTTTCTGTTAATGGTTAACAATAATTAGTATTATTTTGCCATAATCATGGCAAACATAAGAAATGATTTTCAAGAAAGAGCTGATAACGTCTTCATCTCTAAGGCTTAGAGATATAAAATCGTCTTTAAACAATAACGAAGCGTTGGTAAATTTCTGAATTATATAATTAATCCATCACAACCGTCATTACTACATTCATCGTCGGAATCAGAATCTGTCGCATCTGTAGAAGAATCTACCTGTTGCTCTGCCGGAAGAGGAACGTAGCTGAAATAGAAAGCTGAATGACCAGAAGAGACCAATTAAGTTAAAATTCATTGATGTAATTACCATTAAAAAAATCATAAATATTTATAAATATATTTTCTCACCATCGATATATTTTAGAGCTTAATCAGTTCTGCTTAGTTCTGAATAAAAAATTTTACATTTTAATTAAAAATGATCAAATGCTGGACATTTCGACTGCATTACTTATACTATCGATAATTAAAAGGAAGAAATAGCTCTAATTATGGACAAACTTTAAAAAATCAAACAAATGTAAAAATAAGTGAGCAAATAAATTTGAGAATGATATATACAGTATTTAGTAATAAGTAATAACAACAAATAAATATAAAAATTATATATATATATAGTATTTCAGAAGAAAGAAGACAAATAAATAAATTAAACGCAAATAGTAACTTACTCAATGTTACGACCATCGCGATTTAAAAAGTTTTCATTGATAATTTTCATGATAAGTGCAGTTATAAGTACAAATATCAACACAAAAATGATAGCAAAGCACAATACTGTGAACACTGATGATCCAACTTGCTCAATTTTATTTTCATGCAATGAAATCGCAGTGCAGTCTTCTGAAATTTGAGCAATTTTAAATCGAGAAAAGTAACTAAATTCAGAAAAAGTATTCCAATCATGTTATGGAACATGACATTAATAATCACGATGAAAATTAATTACCAAACAGGATACCTAGATTTCGAACCATATCATTTTTTTTAACTTTGTGACAGAAGATTTTAGGCACAGTTTATGATGGAATGAAAAACTTAGCTATCTTAAATATAACATAATGCAGAAAGATGATCATCCGACTTAATCTGAAGAGTTAAAACGTACCACAGTGATGTAACATTGGATCATCATTTGCAGCACAACACGGTCGACAATATCCTACTGATTTGTTGCTAAAATTATCAGCACAAGAATCACACTGCAGTGGCCCAGGGCCATGACATGCACGACATGCATTGTCACAAGGTGTACAAACCAAATTTATTGCTTCATAATACCCAATTAAGCATTTATTCTTCTTTAACACACATCGTGCTTGAACTGATATTGTATCTGCAGTAAATAAACTATGTTTTTTTTTCCTCAAGTAATAGTGAAAGAAATCAGATAAACATTATTATTATTATTGACGATCACAGAATATCGGAAATAATTCTTCAGATGACGTCTCTAGATAAATACAAACAAGGCAATAATTAGAATAATTAACTTACAATCAGGCTCAAGTCCTTGAGGACATTCATCAACACATTGTCCATGATCTAAATGTCCATAATGATTTACATCAATTAAAAGCTGAACACCAGGACAGGTCTCGCACTGCTCCGCCTTTATGCAAGATTTACAATTCGGACTGCATGCACGACATTTGTCGCCCTCAAGGAAATATCCTTCATCACATCGCTTCACGCACCTGCAGTTTGATGAGACATTTATGCAAAAAATATGTGTACGACACCATTTATTCTTAACTGAAATAATCAAACCTGCAAATTTCACACTTCAGATTAGGCATACATTTCTAATTTGTCAAGGACATCATCTTGAACATAAATGACAAATTAGAAACATTTGCGACATCCACAGTAAAGAATTTATTTCTGTAATATTTGCAAGTTAAGCGTGATGAAAAATACGTAATTTCTTAACTGAATTTTCAATATAGTAAGTTTAAAATTTTATTAGTTTCATTGAAAATTATTGTTCTTTCTAAATAAAGTTATCATTAGTTAGAACTTTCGATATAGAAAAATGAGCAAAAAAGCTATTCAGCTACAAGTTATATTTTAATCACAGTTGAGCTTTAGTTTAACTAAAAAAAATGATTATATTGACTTACTTAAACCCAGCACGATTACGCAAGGATTGTGTAAGATGTTTGCATGAAAAACAGCTAACTGCTGATCGTGACTCCGAACATCCATTGCATTCTGGATGACAGTTTGGAGCTGAGGGTAAACTGGAGTTAATAGAAGAATCTGTTGGATTAACCTGAATTCAGAACGATTATTTTAAACCAACCAACAATTAATTGAAAAATACAAAAACAAACTTTTTGGAATAAATAAAATTAAAAATGTGAAAGTCGTTAAAGAGAAATTGTGTAATGACTGAAATTAGCACATATGAGAGCAATTTTGCAATTTAATATTTCCTTAAAAATAAACTCACAGAGATTACAATGATCTTTAGAATATATCACTAGACAAAATAAAGCTAATAACGAAACAAAAGGAGCATGCTGATGGACAGTAAAATAAATCTGTGCTTCAATACTGAATACTATAACATGCAGCACTATAATCCTTTACCACAAATAAAAAGCAAATTAATACCGGATATGTAATTTTGGAATGAAACAAAACTATGCGAGTTGATCGTACAGCTATTAGATTTTGCATTTAATGAATCTTCTGAGAGTATGAATAAACTTAAATTTGTTACCAGTATTTATTGGTATTCATACTTTTAGAAAATTACCAATAAATATTGGTAATGAATTTATGTTTATCCATAGTTGCCAGCTAAAAATGCAAAAAAAATTAGCAAATTCATAAATCACACCAAAGTACTTCTAATTTGTTAAATTTGGGAAAATATGTACTCCTTATAGATTTTGTTTCTTTTCTCAATTCAAAAACTTCCTCACATATAAATTACGCTCAACACTATTTATATCAGCCATATGAAACGCTTATTTTTGTATATCTCAGTGGGCGTTAAAGATACGTAGTGAATTTCTTGTTTCAATATCTGAGGAAATTACCACAGAATAATTACACATTTCTTGACTTTAATGAAGTCACATTTCTTGACTTTAATGAATAGTTACACATTTCTTGACATTTATTCTTACAAATCTTGTGAGAGATGCAATATGGACCATTTGTTACAATGTATGAATAGTCATTAACTACTTTATCCTAATATACTGTGACTACCATAAGTATTACTGCTTAAAAAAGCTCACAAATAATTTACATAAAGCGTAACACAAAAAACTTCGTATAAAATTTGGCGTGAAAAAATTCACCCTTATTAAATGTTAAGCTCAGTTAGTCTGCATGGAAAAGTCGTTGTGTTGATGACGATTCAAGTTTATTCGAAGATAATTTGATGTATATTCGTAGTTCATCGAGTTATTGCAAACAAATAGCTTTCAAATATTTTAACCAAAACAGTACACACACGCACACACACCGTAGCAAAGAAACATTATGCATACTATAAATGCTGTTTCATGACAAAAAATATGCAAACAGAAGGAGAGAAATGGAAACCCCAAAATGAATAATACCGGAATAAATTTACAATGACGAAAGATAAACGGTTAAAGATAAAAGTCGTTCATGAGCAAATGACAGTAATCCGATCATTACATGGATCATCCCGTCTTGGAACTTACAACATCAACTATGTACAACTTGAGAATTTTGAAAATGAAAAAATTCATATCATATCATGATCATCAAGCCATAATTATCATCATCGGTTTCTACTGCTGTGGGCATTACGCATAAATATCTTCTAACATTCGGTACCTTTCAATACTCAATACATTCATATTTTCATTCATAGATGATGATGAGTCCAAAATATATTTAAGAATGCGAAACTGCTTTACAATAGAAAACAACACAAGAGGTCAATTGTCAAAGCAAGTACGCAATAAATAAAATTTCCTCGAGGGAAATCCTCTAAATCCTGTCCTTCGCATTTGTATAATAAACTTTAAATGTCAATTTCTTCTTCCTATTTCTTAATTACTGCATTTCAATCCCTTTAAAAAGCATGCCTGCTCATCATAATATCCGATTAATGAAAAAGAAACGGATATCGACTTATGATTTCTGATCACTTTAAAAAAAAAAAACTAGGAGAGAAATAAAAAATAAAAATAAGATAATGATACTAATAAGAGTGAAGTGAATAATTACAAAAATGCAACTAATAGCAATGGTTGCTGCCTGAACATGCAAACATCTTGTATAAATGATAGAACAATTCTTGAATTGAAAGTTTTCATAATTTAAAACAGCGATAGTTTCATTACAATTTCCGAAACTAGCCTTTACACGCATAGCATGGTATGGTATGATTTAGAATCTACAAAAAGAATTTTTGCAAAGGTAATTTAACATGTCTCACCGATGTTAATTTCTGCGTATTATAAATGCTACCGAAGGTCTACACTTATTGAATATGAAATAATAATTCTTAATACTCATGAACATTCAATTTAATACTTTATAAATATTTCGGAACATAACAAAATGGATTTCTCTATCACAGTAATAAGGAGTTTTAATTATACAAATTTTTCAAGTAAAACTTAAAATTTGGTGAGAAATTTTTAAATCCTTAAATTATATATATAACTTGAAGACATATATAATACATAATATTAGAAATAGAGAAGAGTAGTTCAAAAATGCAATCTCTAATTTAATATCAGTAATACTATCAGTGGTACAAAAATACCACTTTTCTATGGTCGGCATATTAATAATACAGATTTCAGTGACGTGCTTTTTAAGACGCAATATTTTTTCCTGCTATTTCAAAAAAGGAATCTGAAAAGTCTTAAAAAATTGTACAATATTTGGAGTGCATTGCCAAATTCACATAAATATACAAAACAGAGGCAAACCTCCTGCTAAATGCTAACTTTTACAAAGAGAAGATTCCGCATCACATTCTTAATTTCCATAACCAAATGCATGCATGAATAGTGTAATACATTAATTTTTTGATTTATTTAACATCAGATGCATTATAATACCATAAATTTGGAGGAGCATTAAGAGTTTAAGCTGATTGTATTACGAATTATATGCTTCCTAATTATAAAACTAAAATACCACAATTTTACATATGATGCAGAATCATAATTTTAAAATGAATGCACAAAACGAAAAAGTATACTATGAAATTGGAACAGAGCTGATGTTCGATGGTTATAAGGTCAGATAAAGGTAAAGCAATCAAATACTACAAAAAACAAATGAAAACACTTTTGCTAATTTATCATTATTATCTAATTAACAGTTGATGGAGTGCTTAAAAATTCAAATGCAAGGTAAAACTTTGATAAATTGAGCAGACTTTTAAGAAATGAGAATGATATGATGCTGTCAATAAGATGTAGTAAATACTTGATATGAACTCGATTACTCAATTACCGATTGCTATTTATATTGCATTAAAATTTTAGCAAGACTGAAAACATATCTCAACATTTTCTTCCAATTTTTGCAGTTTTGATTTTTATAGAAATACAAGCGGAAAGTTACTATCCTACTTAAAGTAATTGCATAACTGGTACTAAAAAACATTCTGAATAATAACCAGCGCCATGCTTGTGAGAGTAAAAAGGATTTGCGATTTAAATTAGCATGAGACAAATTTGTGATATTCTATAAATTATAATCCCATCTTAGTCAGACTAGAGCACTATTAAGATATAACTAGAGCAATACCCAACAGCGCAAAAAAAGGACGCTTAGCGAAAATGTGAAAATGAGTCTGATGCAATAAATAAGAAGGAAAAGGATTAATAACCAACTTATGCTTGATGCATGGAAATATTATATAAGAAGATCAACATAGCAAGTAGTACAAAAATAAATGGAAGCAATGCAAAACAATCATTCAAGAAACTTAAAAGTGATTATTTACTCATTTTAAGCTAGACAAAAAGACGCGAGTTTTTATGTATTTTTTTGAAAGAACAATATCGGATGCGTGAAGAAGCCAACGAACACGTATAGAATGATATATTTTTTCAAAGTCGAGTACAATAGCATACCTAAAAAAAGCAAAATTCCATTGTTTTAAAAAATTTAACTATTTCATCTTCACCCCTTCCATTACTTATCTCCTGCAAACTTTGTAACAATTACCAATCAAAATGAGAGTAATTACGATTGATTACTGCGCGAAATAGAAATTATTAAGATGACTTATCGCAGGGATTTAAAAAATAATCCCGAAACAGGAAGAAGAAAGAAAAGTTTCTGCTAGATTAGCAAAGGGGTTCTAGATTCTCAACATCTTACAGCATCATCACATGAGTATTATTAGACTAGTAAATATCACAAGGATCAACACTACTGTTGTTATTAATGATGTTATTTCAGCAACTATTATTATTTTATCACTAATATTATTGTTGGGGTTGGTTAGTAGGTGAATGATACATATTTATTATTTGAAGCACATTTTTCAACTCAGTGCTCATTAAATTTTGCATATTGTTGCCTAATTTCACTTGTATCAATGGAATGAAATGCTAGCTTAATTTATGTAATGTCTGCGAGGGAGGAGGAGTAGCTTTTCTTTCGCCACTACTAGTAGCAGTAAGAGTAGCAGCAACAGATGTGGTGGATGTAGCAGTAGAAGTAGTAGGACTAGTAGTAGTAATTATAGATGGTACGGTAGTAGATGTAATGGTAGGTTTCGTTGCACGCCCACAAGCCAACACTGCAGCTAATGCAACAAGCAGTAAAACGACCAGCTGTAGAGTCACCAAGAGTACCGGTAGAGAAATCTGTAGAAAAATAGTTAATCCAATCACAACACATCGATTAAGTCACATTTGTTAATGTCTATATTATAAGAAATGATGAATGTTAGAACACACTCATACATAAATATGCTAGTTAGAGAGAATTACCAAAATTTCATTCCAAAGTATGTCTATATTTTAAGAGTTATCTTAAAGCAATAATAACAACACTAATGATAACGGAACATAAAAATGAGAAGTTTGGGCAGAAGTTGAGAGAGTGAATTATGAGAATTTGATTTACAATAGAATGGTTGATAATTATTTCTGCATTACTGTTTCTTACTAAGCAGGCACACAATACACACACAACACAATGGATTGTCAAGTTTTAAGCATCTCATAGAAAAAGCGGAATTTTCATTCAAATTTAGTTATTCAGCACAGAAAGAGTGAAAAGCACCTAAGTTACCAACACTAAACCACTATCACTTTTGCGTAAATGAAGCTGCCTTGGAAATTTTGAATACTACTATAAATGCAAAAAGAGCTCTTTTCATTTTTGTAATTTCATATAATACATGCGTGAAAACCAAAAATTAAGACGTATTTCTAGCGAATTTAAGTTTTAATCAACATATTTTCAAAATTTTAAATATTCAAAGCAGTCATCTTCAAAATTTTACTGAAAAAAGCTGCAAATGTTAACCACATATTTTAAAAGAGTCTAAATCATATTCCAACTACTTCAACTTTGCTGTCTCTCTCACTTCTTTATACTTCAATTGAAAAAACCTGTCAACAGGCTTCTCTACTGGATGTTAATATATCAACTTTTGTTAATAGCTTTTTTATCTTCTGAAAAGAAAAAGTATTACTGAGATGCGTGTTATTTTGAAAAATGTTAATTTTTATACTAAACAAATAAATTATTAAATTATAAGCAAATGATTCATGTAATTTGTTCGTGTATTATGAGTGAGATATTTCTCTTAATATATACAAAATCAATCCTTTCTGCAATTTCAATGCTTCAAAACATTCAGTCATGTTATCCAGGAAAATGATCACATTAAATGTCAGGCTTTTGCTTAAACGATATTCTCCAAGTATTAGATATTAACTTCGTTGATCTATCTTCACAGTTTAAAACTATCACGAACCTTCAGTACGAGAACTAAACATGGAACAAAAATAATGCCCCATTTTTCTGCACAGAACGATAAAAGCTAAATTAAAAAGTAAGCCACATGCTGCCAATCAAATAATCAAAAGACGCCTCAAACAATCTTCATGCAAATTTTTTCTTCGACACAACAACAGCTATCAAATTTTTTTATAGTCTCTCATACCCGTGAAATCGGAAGTTCATTAACCAGAAGCGATTTCGGACCTTTCTCCTTTACAGATTGCCAATTTCTAGAATCATGTTGTCTTGGTTTCCTTTCCTGAACTGACCACAGTAAATGATGACGATGAGTATATATTCTCATAGACTACTTTCTTCTTTCACAACTACTATGCATCCTCATATATGCAAAGAAGCTTCTCGAAAACCAAAAAAACTCGATTAGAAATTATAAAAACTTAGATATTAGCAGTTTTAAAATGCTATTTTCTTCCGGCTAAACAGTCGTATATTATTGAAAAGAGATAATTTCGAATTTCATACCCATGACTAAACTTATGCAAAATAAATAATACAAAAATTTAGTGGAAACTGAATAAATAATTGAGACAACTATTCAAGTATTATTAATAAAAATTAAACACCATACTCATATTTTAACTAAAATTTAAAATAGAGCAAAAGCATGTTAGAGGTACCCAAAATTATTGTTACCAAGCTTTACTGTGCGCATAAGTCTCTTGGGAAAAGAGTATAAAATCAATTCTGTAAAAATAGTGTATCTATAATTAAGCTATCTGTGAGAGCTACCACCACCTTGAATTTTGAAAATAAGGAAAATAAACTGAAACATTAAGTCCCAATAAGAAAACTGTGAGACATTTTTTAAAATCAAAGCCTCAGCCTATCACTTCATTAAGGTAGAAAGAAAATTGATACATGTCCAAGCACCTGTGATACTATTTGCTGAGTAATTTTACCAAACGCTGTTTGAGTTGGTCCATAGAAGAATGGATTTACATGATGGTGTAAATCAGTCGGCTGAGCTGGTTCAGTCGTACCATATAGCAGCAATGACCAGTCATGGAAGGTTCCTAAAAATATTATGTTAAATTCTGTTTCGAATAAACATAAGATCGAGTTCAACACAAAAATTTTAATATGTATATGTATGTTGTTCATTAATACATAATCTTCAAGTGATATATCACGAATTTTAGAACTGATCAGTAGAAACTACAACCTCCAATATTTCTATTAGTGCTAACAGATTCCACCATCAATGTCCAAGTTCCACGAGGATCTTCACCCCACGTATGCACAGACAAAAACGGCCATTGATGGATACCATTGGAATTGTAATCCTGTATGAAAAATTTCTTCCACAAGACATTCATTAAATCATCACTTGAAAAACGGGAAAGCAAACAATAACAAATTTCAATCTTTGTAATCTCCTGTTTATTTTTTTAAAATAATCTAATTACTGCTAGGTAGAGAAAGTAAAAAAAAAAATTATGATCTTAAAAATAAAAGAATAATAACTGAACAAATCATGCAATAATTTGACGGGGAATTTTTGTTTTTATTGATATAGTTTATTAAAATCAATCGATAAACCTGTGGACGAGGTGGAAGCAATACTGTTGACGTGCCACGTGGTGAGAACAATGTTAATTTCAGGTCACCACGTTTTCCAAAACGAACTGTTACCAATACTTGCACATGTTCAAGATATAAAATTGGTGCGCTAAATTCACAACCATTTACTTCCAGAGAAAAATTCATTTGGAAATTACCCGTTATTGGTCGCGGACTGAAAAAATCAATTTTTTATTCAATAAATAATGCATGGAAGCTTATGGTAATCGACAGTTTTTCACAGTGACTTATTTCATAAGTTAAATCAAGACCATTTTAATTTCAGTTCCCTAATACCACTAAAATCAAAAACAATCCCAGCCTCCATCCTTAATAATTACTGAACACTGTACATCACTAACTTTGGATTTGGCAACTTATAATCATAAGTGCAAATGTGCTGTTCCGGTACTCTTTTCCAAATCAGTGCAAGCTTTACTAGTGCTTCAGCATCCATAAGCCCGTAACCAAATTTATTGTTGACTCGCCTACCAACTCCATTCACTGACCAACCTGGATTATTGAGTAAAGGAACTGGATTGGCTGTTCGTAGTACAATATGCTGCATATCGCGCCATGTTAAATTTGGACTAAAAAACAACGCTTCTTTGATTTGAAATTCCTAACTTTATATATTTTTGAAAATTACTTGCAGGAACTTAACTAGAACACTTGTACACTTATACTAAAAATAAACAGACCAGAAATTTTAAAAATCTGACGTGAAAATTTGAATATATGACATGAAAGGGTACACATTTGCTAGTTTTTCATTAAATGATATAATTAATGCTTTAGATGACAAAAAGATTGCTAATTTCTAAGGTAGGGATAAAATAATGTCTCTTCGTTATTTAAGAATAATATACTTCCAGCAAATTTGATATAACGATTTAAATTTTCTGAAAATTTTTTACTGACTTCGCTTCTAGCGCGAGCGCAATGATACCTGCTGCAAGTGGAGCAGACGCACTAGTACCTGTATGTGAACGAGTACATCCATAAGGTGCATCAATTGTTACCTGAAGCTTCAATTGCTGTAAAAAATCGCATAACCAATGATTAAAAATTTTACATAGATAGCATACACTAAATAATGTAAACATAAAAATAAAATTCTTAAGCGATACTCACGACACATTCAAAAATATTTTTATAAAATCGAAAAAACGATCAACATTTATAATTTCCATTACATCAAAGATGCAACGTAAATGTATAGGTAGACATTTTAGACTTGTAATAATATTAATATCAAATGTAATTTCCTTAGAACGAAATCAAATACTATTCCAAACTTACAAAGGAAATATTTATAACAAACTTTCTATTATTTTTAACCAACAGAATTCTATAAATTTGAGAATCAAAAAGAGTAGGATACATTAAAATGCAAATAATTACAATTGCTGGTTGATTCATGTTAGCACTGCTATAAGTTGTGGCGATAGTTGATGGACACTCTTCCAAATACCATGGACGGCGATTATCAAATGTTGCTGAACTAATACTGAGTGTATACACTGAAGTTGTATAGCCATCAGCAGAGCAACTATCCTGCCTGCAGAATATGCCTACGTAAGTAAATAGAACAATTCAGCAGCTAGAAAATAACTCTTTTAATTTTCATGGCATTATTTTGTGTAAAAATTTCCACATATTATTTTTTGCATTTTAAGACAGGTTTATATGCCTTATGATTTGTAAAACAATTACCTAGAACCACCATTACCGCTGGCCCAAACGAAAATATTTCCTTTACCGCGTCGTCCAATTTTAGTACCATCATAAAATGCTTTGCGTGCTAATGGTCCAGGGCCATCAAATGTTCGACCATCGTCCTCAGGACCCCAACTTGCCGAATATATATCAATATGATCATAATTGTGAGAAAGACTTGCTGCTTCAACACTAAACCATAAAATTATTTGTTAAGGTATAATGAAAGTGAAAATCAAATAAAAGCTATATAAATAATAAAAGATTAGGCAACGTTTTGGCATATTAAAATCATAGTCCAAATCTCTGAAAATTATAGATTGATTGCAGTTTAGTAAAAATTTTAGACATTTCTAGGAATGTCTTTATATTTTTCAAGTAGTATATTAAAGTAATATTAATAAACTTTATTCAGTTAAAGAAATTAAAACTTTATTCTCCATTTTAAGAGTAGAAAATGTATTAATCATATAAAGCTATTTATTACATGGATAATATTTCAAGAAATGCCTAAAATTCAAATTGTAACTAATGTATAGTTTCCAGATAAAAATTAATAATTATCTCCCCATAAAAATTTTACTACTAATACAAATAAACTATTCTATTTCGACCCCGTTCTGGTGAATTAACATTATTACCATTTACCTATCACTAACGGAACCATCTAACATACGAACGCCGCCAATTCTTGCATGGAATGCAACACCCACTCCACAATATTTATTTCCAGCAACGGATGCGACTTCTCCAGCGCATCGTGTTCCATGCCTATAAAGGAATTAATGCTGTAACGAAGCAACTCAATTAATTAATTTATTTATCATTTTTTAATAATTTATTAAATTCAGTCCGAAATTCCTCTAAATCCTGATAAATTTGGTTCTTGAAATATATGACATGTTTCTGTTTACATTTTTGATCTCATTATAGCCAAGAAGTATAACCATTCCAAAACATTGCTTAACAGATCGTATAGCCATTCTTATTAGCTTATACTATTACCATTTCTTAAGACTAATTTTTTAAAAATAATATCTAATTTTTTCCAGCAGCACATTATTGAGCTACAAAATTCATTACTACTTTTTAACATCAAATGATAGTGTATAAATGCATATAATGACATTTCAATGATTTACAATCGAAAAAATCACATAAATTTATGCCGAAACTTTCCTCTCCACCACTGCCAAATAAATACAAGATTTAATAATTAAGTCAGTTTTGTTTAAACTCAATAAATTATATTCTATAGCATGATAATTAACGGTAAATTAATTTTTTGTTTACATTTTCTCTTTTTATTATTAACAAATGATCAATTTGATACTTACTTATTATCACCGTTATCCTGAGGTGTTGGATCATCATCATGACCATTGATATCAGTGCTTGAAAATGGATCATAATTTTCGGCTAAATCTGGATGATCTCGTTGGATACCGTCATCCAGTATTGAAACAGATACATTACGACCGGCAAAACCCAACAGCCATGCTCCTCGCACATTCATATCATAACCTCCTTGCGCACCATTATTCTGTAATAAAATTTAACAGAAAAAAATTACTGATATGTGAAATGATCTTTTTTTTTATCTAACAGTTTTCATGCCTTAAAACACTAGATGAAGTACTGTCACAAGTTGTTAACCACGGTTTTTAAAAAGGAATTCCTTTTCAAATGTAAAACTACACACAAAAAATGCGGCAATTGTGCAATTCAAAAGTCTTCCAGAACAATTTTTCCACATCACTTTTCTTCAGATAATACATATTTTTCATCCGTCTTACGAAAAAAGCAGAAAAAGAAGACGGAGGGAATGAATTATAAATGTGATCATTACTGAAATTTTTTCAGCTTCAAAATCACAAACATAGAAATATTTATTGCAAATACAGGAAACGAGTAACTTACAAAGTACCACTGTTCTTTATATAAAGGATCTGGGAAAGGCAAAACAGGCCTTTTACGATATGAATAATTAATGCCATGCTCTGTCATGGTTGGTAACTGGGAATGTCTCATAACATTATCAGAATCTTCAGAACTTCCGGAAGTCATGTCAGGATAGATAAAATCGCGTTTCCGTCTTACCCTGAACCTCTTTTAAGTTGGAAGTTCAATGTGATGAAAAATCGTTAAAAATAATTAATACATCATTTGTTGCAATTTATGTCTTTTTTCTTCCTCAAATTTTAAGAACAGTAACTTTTGGACACAATCTTAACATAACAGTTAAGTAACAATCCCAGTACTTGACTATTTACCTCGGCCTTTGCTCTTCGATCAATAAAATATCAGGATGTTCTTGTAACCTTGAAATTACTTCGCGTTTCTGCCTTTTTGAGCGAGCGTTTGATAAATGACTAATAAAATAATACGTGCCATCAAGAAATGGCTTACCCTAAAATTTAAAACATAATTAAGTACGAAATCCTGGAAATTCCTCTTCTGAACTAAATTAATAACATCTATCTGAAATGTGATAATTGTAACAAGAATTTGTTCTCTAATAACATATATAGAAAAGATTACTGAGTTTACAAGAAGATTTGATATACTGCAAATAAATTTAGAAAAAAGAATTACATTAGCTCTTATCAGATAAGAAAAGCAAAAATCCAAAATAAAAAACTGGTTTAAAAAATAAAATTTCTGACATTAAGATAGAACAAGATAATAAAAAATTCCTACCTTTACTTCCATACCATGCTGTTTTGCGATTAAACGAGCTTTCTCGTCATTTCTCTCGCGCAGTCTCATAATCGTATGACTTGGCTCTGGACAAGAACCATCATCACTTGTACAAATTGAGTCATGTTCGATAGTTAAAACCCTTTGTAAGCTACCAAATACAATTATCAGGTGCCAATACATACTGAAATACTTTTTATCACATTATGTCGGCAGGCAATATTTATCATCAAATATGAATCAAAAAACATGAGAAAGTTTACGATCAAGTTATAGCTGAAAATAATAAAGCAATAAATTCTAAAATTGCTCAGATAAACCTGTAATCTTGACTCGCCAGATTTCTCCAGTATACACTAAACTGTAAAAAATACAAGGCTATAGAAATGGAAGTAGTGGTACATTTGATTAATAAAGAATTAAATATATGCTCCTACTTTTATGCTTAGTTTATTGAGGCATTTTCTCTTTTGCTATCTTCTCATCTATGTCACGGAAGTTTTTGAGAAATTTACGTATTATATACATGCAACAAAATTCTTTTGATTCATCAATTTTTACTTCTGTTATGTTCGAATAATCCACCAATGAAACATATGAAAAACCATTATTTGTCCACCTTAATGGCTACTCTGATTAATTATCATAAAGAAAAAATGATTATTTGAAGAAAAATTTGGATATTTCCTTATCTTCTTCTAGAAAAAAACTTAAATATGCTATAGTCAAAGAACTGGTAAATAATTACAAGATCTTCATCTTGTATAATTGTAATTATGCATGAGTAAAATATGTTAGTCTACAAATGATAACTATTTATTATTATTTTTATACAAGTAAATTCAATTACTAATAACAATGCTTACAAGAATAGATTCAAGAAATTACAGAACTTTAATTACAGAATAATCACTATGCTACTTCCTGTTAAATAAGACTCTTATCAAACTTTCATTCTTTTAGTATCAATTCCTGAAATTACAAAACTTCTGCTGTCTCTTAATTATTTGACTGATATCTGCTTAATCACTTAAATTAAAGCGCCGAAAATTGCAATAATAATATTCATAATATAAATTATCACAGCTAACATCATGTATAGACAATTGCACAGCTGACTTAAATCTATAACTGTTAATATCCTAAAAGAGTGCACAAATTGAATTGATATTAATTAAGACAGTTCTGGCTTCACAATAACATTTTTTTAAACAGATACGTACGCACGAAATATGAGAATAAATTACTGATAGAGACAAATGTCTTGATTATTTCTAAGTTACTCAATACTGTAACTTCAATCAAAAGTGCCTTCTTCAACTCCTTCATGTTTCAATTTCGCTTCCACTTCCACCCCACAAAAGTAACAAATCACATCAAAGCGCAAAGGCTGTTCACTGATCTCCTTCTGTTTTCTACAGAATGCTAAAATGCAATAGTTTTCTTGCATATTATGAATTTCTACATTAATTATTCTTCTTCAAAAGCTATCTTTCAATTATCAAAAGTTTGAAAAGAGTTTTAATAACATAGCATCACTTTCAGACCAACAATTCATTCATTCATGTGTTTCATTTCAATGCAAACAGGAGTATTTTGAATACGCAATTTCCTTCTACTTCTTTCCACTTTAAATCTTTTTCAAAAACTTTTGGAAATCAAAAATGAAATAAACCAGCAATAATCTTGCTCAGTTTTAACTAGAGAGTCTTAAATGCTTTACTATTATCGTTTCAATCAAAATGAGCCCTTTCCACACACTACAACTAAATTGTCTTAAAACTGGATCAAACCTTTGAATCTTGAAAACAAAGAATCAGAAAATTACAAAGGTTTCATGAAAATATGAGGATGAAAATATATAGAAGTTAATTTTCAAATTCGGCCTTTAACTAACAAATATACGACATCATGAAAAATAAAACAATCAATGCAGCAGTGATAACAATCACTACAATGTTAATAAATATATACTTGAGGTGCCAATCCCGTATGATTTTAGTTGCCTATAATATAATAATATGAAAAATTTCTTCATATCTGACGATGAATTTCTTTTCGCTTAATTAATAATGAAATTCGCTACTTTCAACAAGAAGAAAATCGTCAAACCTGAAAGTACATATTTAAACATAAGACTGAACAAACATGGAAGATCATAAGCTGCAATTTGCAAACTTATATATCCACCCTAAGCCGGTTTTCATCACTGCTTTCCATAGTAACACAACCAGTAAGAGCTTTCTTCAAAACTAACGCTCAATGAAAAATTATTAAATATAATTCTTCAAACGTATGGAGAGAAAGTTGAAATAAGATCAATTCGGTGTATAAAATAAACGAATATGTAAGCCTACACTCAAGAAACAAACAAGCTGTTAAAAAAGAACAAGTTTATATCATGGCTTTATCAAATGTTTAATCGCTTATTATCAACAACCTTACCACTTTCACTTACAAAAATAAGAAACTAGTCGTAAATCTTTCATATGAAATTGTATATGAGCAAGCATCTCTGATTATAATTTCACAAACTTTAAGCTGAAAATAAAGAAATACACGAACGATTTCATGACTCATTATACATAACTCAAAACTAAAAAAGTTATTATTAAATAAAAGTAATTTCAGGATTCATTAAGCAGAATTTTTGGACTTCCTGAAGTCTGAATATGCTTATAAGAATTACTTCCCAAATGAAGAGCATCCTAAATTTAAAGAAAGAAAAAATAAGTAAGCTAGATATGAAAGATTCCCTTATCTGTCTATCGCTTTCAACATTTGTCTATACCGAATTTTTAATACGTTTACACTCATGACATGCTGATCTATAAGTCACTCCGAATTTTGATAAATTACTTAAATTATTTATTATAAATGTTATTTATGTATAACAAATTTTTCAAAAATTGAAGCTTTATCTGTTATACTCTTAAAAACAATTTGGCTACACTGAGGATAAAGTCCAAAATTAAAAATAATGCTGATATAATGAGTCAACAAATGAGAGGAAAGTGTTCAAATCTTTTTTTTTCAAAAGTTCACGAGAAATACGTTAGAACCTTCAAATTATTCGTATAAATTAGATGGCAAATGTTGCTAGCTTATGGACTCAAAAGCCATTACTGATCGTAAACAATCTGTGACTGAAACGTATTAAAAAATAAAAATGTAAAACCTTTTTGCTGTCGTTAGCTGCACAGCGTGAATTTTGACAAAGAATAATGAACAGATAAAATGTCCAAACTTGACAGAAATTCAAATACTTATATTTTTATTTCCACAAACAAAGTGAATAGCAGTAACATCTTATAGTATAAGTAATTAATGACCATTACCATTATTAAAATAGTAATAAATGCATTTGCTGCACTATTTCATTTTAGTTACTGGTATTAGGCCAGTGTTTTTCTAATGCACTTCATTTTTCGTTCAATTCTTCATCACTCTCAGAATCTTTAGCTGCAGATACAATCAATAGGATCGTTCCTCGCTTGATATTTACTCCTTTTCATTACTTAAAAACCATCGCAAATCTAATGACCCGTCAAAGCAACGTAAAAATATGTAAAAAATTCCTTCTTCTTGTCGGCTTACTTCTTCTTTTTTGTTTTTTGAAGAGGAAAAAACAAGGATTCACTGAAAATGATTGGAGATGATAAATAATTACATCCAGAATCATCAACGTTTTTCTTGCCACGACTGAGAGAATTCCATGACAAAACTTGATGAAATATTTTGGATGATTTAGACCGTAAATAAGAGAATATATCTGCAAGAATAGCTTTTGACTAGTAAACAAATTAATACCATTATGAAAATTAAGACCAATTCTTGCATTTTATAAAATATAAATAAAATCGCTTCAATAAATACACAAAATAGATTATTGTGTATTTATGTTTATACTCATATACTTATTTACAAATCACAAATCAGGGAAGAAATCGGAAAAGAAACTAAAAACATTGAAGGTGATTAAAAAAACTAAATTTCAACTATTATATATGGATATGAATTAATGTAACGGAACTCTAAATGTAGCCAATTATTCATTACGAACCTTTAATGCCCAAACATACCCATAAACAAACAATCAGAAGCTTAACAAACAAAGCAACAATGCCTGGATAAGCCGATTCAACACTTTTTCTTCATCCATCGTATACCCGAATTTTAAAGTGGTAACGAAGTGCAATACTTGATTTCAGTGATACTTTAAAACCTTCCGAAGTCGACTGGTTGCTGTACGGATTTGAATGCCAAATTATAAGCTAGTGAATTTGCATCTTTGTTATAAATAAACATTTATTGTTATAAAAATGTATAACTGTCTGAAATATTTGAAATTTATTGTTACAAGTTTTTCAGAGAAGTAGCACAATAGATACTACGACCTACGCTTTTCTGAATGCAAAAAGATAATATATATATCTTTTAAATATCTTCACAAATAAACATAAATAATAAAAAATATCTTTTTCAAAAACAAGTAATAAAAAATATCTTTAAAAAAATAAATAATAAAAAGTATCCTTTAAAAAAATGAATAATAAAAAATATCTTTTAAAAAACAAGTAATAAAAAATATCTTTTAAAAAAATGATAAATAAAAAATATCTTTTAAATTTAAATATCTTTCTGTAACTTATAGAATGATGACTTGCACGTGGAATCTATAGATTGGTTTTCTTCAAAAACTTTGTCCAATACGTAACAAATAATAATTTAGTGAGTCATATCAACGATGCAGTAGTTGTAGCACACAAAAAAACTGTGCTCAAATTATAAAGACATGAAAATTTTTTTAAATTTTTTTTGACAAAAAGAGCAAAAAATTTTGTATTTTTATTGAATAAAAAATTTCTCTGCTTGATTTGCTCAGCTATTTTAGTGTATTTGTATGTTTACAGTACAGAAATTGTTGGAAATTTAAAAAAAAAGAGGCAATAGTATTCAATTGTGTATTCAAAAATGTTTGCATTCTATAAGTTACAGTAAGCAGCTGAAGTTTGCAAGTTTGTGTTGCTTATACACTTTAACAATTAAATAGTAATCAAACAATTAAACAGTTGGGATATTTTCTGCATTACTTTGCTACAGTGTTAATATTATAGGTGGAAAAATAACTTTACAGACTTACTTACCTTGGAGGATGTTTGGGCAAGCAGGGATTGAGTTAG